TACGGGAGCCGACACCGTTATCTTCGTGGAGCACGACTGGAACCCGCAGAAGGATATCCAAGCCATGGACCGTGCTCACCGTATCGGTCAGAAGAAGGTTGTCAACGTGTACCGGTTGATCACACGCGGTACTCTGGAGGAGAAGATCTTGAAGTAAGTTGATCCTACATTAATTGATTGATTTTGCCAATACTAACCACTTTCTAGTCTCCAACGATTCAAGATCGACGTCGCCTCCACAGTGGTCAACCAACAAAACGCAGGCCTGAATACAATGGACACCGACCAACTCCTGGATCTCTTCAACCTCGGAGAAACAGCCGACAACGCCGAGAAACCCAACGAGCAGGCCGGCAACGAAGTAGACATGGTCGACATCGACGGCGAAGTCAAAGAAAAGGGCAAGAAGGGCTGGCTAGACGACCTCGGCGAGCTCTGGGACGACCGCCAATACCAGGAAGAATACAATCTGGACTCGTTCCTGGCCACAATGAAGTCATGATCAACCTCCCCAACCGCCCTCCCTATTCAGGGCATTACAATCCCCTAGCATCTGCAACAAGCAGCGCTAGGATTACCTACATCATCCCCTCCATCATCCTCCCCACACACATCCATGTACCAAAAGAAAGAAAACAGGCGTTCAGGACCTCTCTCTCCTTTCCTACTATTCTATCCATCCATCTATCACGGTGTTGTTTAAACTACTTACTAGGGAAGCCGGCGAGGAGTTGACTTGACTTTTGGTTTTTTTACCTACTGTGTTATTTACCATTCTTACTCCTGTGTTTCTTTTTTTCTTTTTTATCAAGACCTAACTCATTGATTGAACGAATGATTCGGAGTGCTACGAGATAACCTTTTCTTATTACTTGGACGGACGGACAGCCTTGAACTGAAGATAGATTTGTTATTTTGTTTTTCTTTCCTCTTTTTCCTTTACCTCTTGTCTACTACCTACATCTACCTTCAACAGACACCTGTATCCTAGTTCACTACTTTTTATCACCCAGATTCGCTCGCAGTTAATGTATTATACCTGTATTGCTACATGCCATACTGGGTTTTATACATGTAGTGATGTGATGATGAGATGAAGTGGTAGTAACGTAACGCCAATACATCGTAGCAGTGTAGGACCGAGACATAATAATGGTGGTGAATGAGATATTGTCTCATTGGGTGCAACGCATGGAAACTCATCGCCTCAAAAACAACACAAATAATCAATAGCTCAATAGAACAAAGTAAGCTAGCCAGCTAGGCAGACAGCAACAACAATAACAAACAAACAACAAACAAACAAATACAAAAACACACTCATACACGCAGATAAAGAAACAGGTACCCACCACCCCATCTCAAAATTTATAAAAGGACTCAGATGCTAAAGCCCTTCCACCCCTCCACCAACCCATCCGCAGCCTTACTAACCGCCACCCAAGACGGCGCAAACTGCCTCACTTCATCTAGAGCCGGGATAACGCCCGCCGAATTGTTGTCACTCCAGAGACAGACTGCTTTCCCATTCAACTTTCCTTCTCCTTCGTCTCCTTCTTCACTATCATCATTCGTAGAGGTAGTCCAAGCAACATCCACGACCCACTCATTCTCCCACTCTCTACTCCACAGGCGGATTTCTTTCGTGCCGTGGGGAGAAGAGGTCGGGAAGCGGGGGTCGGTGGATGAGCCGAGGACGGCGAAAGAAGAGATGGGCGAGTCGAAGAGGAGTTTGCAGGCGCGGGTGTTGCGGCCTGATAATGTGATGCGGGCTTTCCTTGGGTGGTGGGTATCTTCATCTCCTTCTTTGTCATCGGTGGTGTTGTGTTGCTGGGAGATGGTGAAGTCGAGCCAGTCGGAGTATGGCGTGTCTGGGACAACGCGCGGGGCGAGGCCCGGCCAGGCGCATTTGGTGCCGCGGGTGGTGTGTTCGGTGCAGGTGATGTTTTGGTTGGCGGTGCTGGGGAGGGTGGATGCGGCGGCGTGGACGTAGGGTTGGACGCCGGCGAGGGAGGCGGTGGTGGAGCCGGTGGAGAGGTCGATGTCTTGGATGAAGAAGAGTTTGAGGCGGTTGGTTGGGGAGAAGGGGAAGGCGACGAGGTTGTAGATTAGGGTGCCGAGGAATACGAGTAGGAGGAAGACAGGGAGGTGGTAGGTGTGGCGGTGGATGAAGGGGAGGAGAGGCGTGAGGAGGAATGTGGTTAGGGCTGCGATGGCGACGTAGATGAATAGGGAGGAGCTGCCGTCTTGGCCGGTTTGGTGGAGGGCGCTGGTGAGGAGGAGGGCGAGAGGCCCGACCATGATGAGGACTAGGGGGGCCATAAGGAGGAATTGCAGTGTCCAGGTCCAGGTTGGGAGCGAGGCGCTCCAGCGTTGCTCGTGCTTGTAGACGCCTGGGTAGTAGTGGTGGTCGGTATCGGAGTCGCGATGGTCGCCGGCGACGCGGACGTAGTTGGCGAAGGTGGTGCGCTGGCCGCCTCCGAGCAGGGAGGTCGATTCAGTGGGCTCCTGCTCCTCCTCTTCCTCTTCGGCGTCGTGGTCGTCTTCCTCGTGGTCTTCGCCTGACGCTGTGCCTAGCCGACTGCCGCCGTAGCTGCTGGCCCGGCGAGACGTCGGCCGGTTTTGGTTCGCGTACTCTGACTTTCGCGGCAAGGAGAAGAGCTCTAGGTAGGAGATCCAGGTCGCGAGGAAGGTGCCGGAAAAGAAGAAGAAGACCGAGTAGCTGCCGGCCAGGCCCCGTTGGTTCTGGTAAACGGTGGAAATGACGAGGAGCACCCAGGCAAGCACGAACATCCAGGTCAGGGTGTAAATGCGGTGCAGCGCAGTCGGGCGAGCAAAGTCAGCCATCCGCGAGACAAACCATGCCAGAAAGGTCCAGGCAGACAGCATCATACTCCAGACGGCGTACTCGCTGCTGTGGATGATCAGCGGGTTAACCTTGGTCACCAGATACGCCAAACCAACAGTGACCGCCGTAGGGATCGCAAACAGGAACGGAAATCGGAAGAAACCCCGTAGGCCCTGCAGAGGAACCGAGTCCAGGCTCTCATCCGCCTTCGCAGACGTCCTAAACAGATACATCTTGTCCGCGCGGGTGAGCGCAATGCCCGTCACCAGCAGAGCCAGCGGCGCAACAACAAGCAGCGTCACCGACAGCGCAAACAGCGTATGCAATTCAAACAAAACAAAGGTAGTCCCAAACAGATCGAACCACACAGCCTTCGACCCCGATCCACTCGCAACCTTTGCATCATCCGTCGGCGCGCCTTCAAACTGATCGCTCTTATCCGAGACCAGCCCCTCGGTAGTCGCAACCGCCGCCGACAACATATGCCACAGGGAGCTCTTACTCGTATGCCTCGAATCATCCTGCTCAGTATGATACCTAGCCCTCGGCTCCATAAACGCAACATCCAGTCCCCGCAGCCCCAAATCCACCTCAAACACCACATAATCCGTCTGACTACCAATCAGACCCGTAGCGAAGCCATCCGCCGCCAACACCGATCCAAACGGGTACTTAGAACTCATATACGGACGGGTGACCTCGGTATCGGAGCTGCGAAAGAGGATAGCACGACCGCCAGCCCCAGCACCCTCCAGATTGAGAAAGGTATGCGGAAACTTGGAGATCGGATGCTGGCCGTACACGCGCGCACCATTCAGATAATCCTCCTCACCGTTATTCAGCAGCACGACCAAGCCCCTCCGCGGCGCGTGGCCCGGCGTCATGAAGTACTGAATCAGCTGCAAGCAAGTCACAACACCGACACCATCATCGGTGGCGCCATATCCCGTCGAGACGCTATCGTAGTGGGCGTTGACCAGCACGCCGCCCTTGCCGGAGGGCACACCGTTGGGTTCCTCCCACCAGTTCTCGTGATCATCGTCCGATCCGCGGATGTAGACGAGGATGTTGGTGCCCTCGAAGTAAACGGCGGTGTTGGAGCTTGACAGGGAGTTGCCGACGAAGGAGAGGTTGGATTGCGTATCGTCGAAGACGAAGACGGCGGGTTTCGGCTTCTCCTCATCGACGGAGAGGTACTGGTCGGCGGGGGGCGCGGCGTCGAGGATCTCGTGGATGCGTTGCAGGAGCCAGGTGTGGACTTCGTCGTTGCGACGGGAGTTGTAGGGGTGGAAGCCGTCGGTTAGGACTTGGAGATCGGCCCAGGCTTGGGTGAGGTCGAGACCGTTGGGGTTGGCGGTTGGAGGCGAGGGGACGACATGATGCACGATAAGCAGTGGGATGAGGAAGGCGAGATAGACGACGGCGGTGATCAGGGTGACGGGCCAGCGGGCGAAGGCCAGTGGATTGGCTCGCGATAGCCTGAGAGGAGCCATCGGAGGGAGTGCAACACTGCAGGAATGCTGGGTTGGTGTTGGAGCAGCGATGCGGAGGAAGTGAGGAGACGCCGATTGATTGATGATCAAGTGGGCGGGAAGGCGGTGGGGAAAGTGACGTTGTACCATAAAGTTACCTCCTCCCAAGTGTATCAACTAGTGTATACTCGGAGATAAACATCCTAAAAATAAGCCGATGCTTGTATTCAAATGCTGCTAGCTAAAACTCCGTCCATGCACATGGTCGCTCTGCCATCCTTTGCAGATAACAATAGGTACTCTATCTAACCTCTCCCTTTCTCTTTCCCTCATACTCCACACACACACACTGAGGATTGATTCTCTACGGCACCATGCCATCGCCTGGTATATATTCTTCCGGAAAAAAGAAAGATCCACAGAGATGTTCGTCCCAAACGAATGAGAAAGAAAGCAAAGAGAAAATAAACCACAGCCTCCCTCTTCCCAGAAGGCAGCTCCCCGTGAGCCGCATTCCGATGCAAATTTCCGAATAGTCATTGCAACAGCCCGGAGGGTGTACCAACCCTCCAGGAAAAAAACGAGCATAAGTACAACACAGGCCGCAAACGAATATAAGTAAGCAAGTGCAAAACGATAGGCTCCGATGTGAATAGACTCGCTGTAAGAAGGCGGGGGTATCAACCATGGGTATGTCCAATGTCAATGTAGTCGTCGTCGTGAATGGCCGTCGCGGCGGTCGCATGCATCAAGCCCGTCACCTGGTTTTCCTCGTCCTCTAGCTCTTCATCATCGTCATACATCGTGGCTTCGGTCATGTCCCGCGTCGGCGGAGGAGGCGGAATGATGCGGTTCAGGAAATCGCGCAGACGGTTGACGCCCTCGCCGCTGAACACGCAGAACACCTCCCGTTGTTGATGCGTGAACTCGGAAGGTGCCTCGCGGCAGAAGACCGTCAGCTCTTCCCGCAGGAAGGCCTGGACGCCCGTCAGACTCAGATGTGTCAGTCGCGGACAACTATTCAATAAAGCATGGATTCCCTGTGCGCTAGTCAGCATACTATGGATTGCCACGTAGATTATCCCTCCAAAACGTACCTCAATCGTCAGGCGAACGCAGTAACTCAGATGCACCCGCTCCAAGCTACTGACTCCCCCCGAATGGTGGGCCGCCTTGGATCCTGCCAAGGCGCGAATGCTATTGTCCGTGATATTCTGGCACTTGACCAAGCCAATTCGCCGCAGCTTGGGCAACGTGGCCAGCTGCTGCACGCTCGTGTCCGTCAAACGAATGCAGCAGGCCAGATCGATATACCGGATGCGGTTGCAGGATTTGACCAGCTGGATCACCGCGGCATCGGTGATGTTGGAGCAGTGGCCCAGGTGGACATAATGTAGATTCTTGCCGAGGCGGCAAATGGCCCAGACCGCACGATCGGTGATGAACCGACACTTGGCCAGCACCAAATTCCGTAGACGCGGGGCTGCAGCCACGATGCGCTCAACGGCATCGTCCCGGACGCTCTCGCATGACGTCAGGTCGAGGATGCGAAGACTGTCCATCGACAGCTGCCGGGGCAGCTCGAGGAAAGCCGTGTCGTCAATTTCTGTACAATGGGCTAGTCGCAGCTCGCGCAGGTTTTGGAGCGTCGTCATGAGCGAGGTCACCGACGGGTTGGTGACGAGCTTACAGTCATGCAGGTCAATCTCCAGGATGGCCGGGCAACTCTGGGCGAACGACATGATGGCCTTGTCGGTGACCTGCGTTACTCCATTCAATTTCAACTGCGATGGGTTAGTCGAGTCTCCCAAATACATGGTACAGATGCACCGGCACAAGCGCCTACCCTTTTAATTTGTCGACAATTCCGAGACACCGTAATTAACGAGTCGTCCGTTACATTGACGCATCCCGTAATATTGAGGCCCTGTAGCCGCGCACAGTTCCGAGCTATCGTGTACAAGGTATGATCCGTAAGATGCCGCAGATCAGAGACATCCAAAGCCTGCAGATGCCGATTGCCTTCCACCAAGTCCGATACACCCTTATCCGTGAGTTTCGAGCAGTTGGTCAACGTGAGACGCTCGATGCGGTTGCACTGGGCAAAGGGCACGACAGTGCCATCGCTGACGTCGTCCGTCAACGCAGAGAGGTTGAGTCTCCGGATCAGCTGCGAGTACGGAAAGAAGCTGTCTGATTTGCCCACCGAGGCCGTAATGCTCTTCATGTTGTCCCAGTTGTTGCACGAGGGCCGGTGCCAGAGGATGCCCACGCAGTTCGCCGCCCATCCCCTGCATACGCGCATGCAGCTCAACATGTCGGAGGGCGAGGACAATTTCGCGAAGATGGCGATGAGAATCTCCGGGGGTAGACGCCCGATCGGCGGCAGGTCCAAGTCGGTGTCATGGTGGGGATGGGCGTCACGGGTCGCGACGCCGACCGACGATTGCGAGTCATTTGCCTGGGCTGTGAAGAAGTCGGTATCTTCGTCCGCGGTGCGATCCGGGGACGTCGACGAGGTCGAAGATTCGGAGGGAGCTTCGCTCGAGAACCGAGCGGGTTGCCTTTGGCGGGGCATCGGGACCGCCGTCGGGATGGGGATCAAGTGTGCGGGAACGGAGCCCTGGTCGTGCTCAGTTGCGTCCTGGTTTCGCTCACCGTGGATATGGAAGGCTGATCGGCATGGAATGTGTCTCATCGACTGTCGTCACACACACACAGAGAGAGCGAGCGAGCGAGCTATCGAGATGCGCGTTGGGTCCGATGCGAGTGGATCCAACCGGGGAGGGAAGGGTGGTCTGCAGTGTACGAGCGGTGGTTCCTGAGATCGAAGCCGGTCGTGAGGGATGAGGAAAAGGGTCGATGTCCAATAAGACCCAAGTCAGCGGAGGAGAAACGAGTTCCACTTGAGCGGACAGCGGATTAAAGGCGCTTATAAAGGAGAACGCGCGTCGGGCGTGCCTGCAGCAGTTGCAGCTGGGAGAGGAGGCGAGCGGAAGGCAAGGAAGGGAGAGGAGAGGAGGGGTGTGGAGGAGTCCCGGCGTCGGAAGGGCATGCGAGGGGAGCAAGAGAAGGCGCCAGTCGTGAAGAGGCAAGCTGGGGGGGGGGGGGGGGGATATTTGTAGAGAATCGGTAGGAAAAGTGAAATGTTAAGGGTAAAGAGAGAGGCTTGTGAGGGTAGTTGGAGTGTTCAGCCAGAGGAGGAAGAGGGGAGAGAGAGAGGGAGGGAGGGAGGGATGCAGCGAAAGCAGGGCGGGTAACTATCGCATGGGCGGGTGTGACGATGTGAAAGTGAAAGAAGAGTGAGAGGAAGAGAGGGGGAACTTCTTGCCCGGTCGGCAGCCCACCGTGTGCCTGGTGAGGTAAGCCCAGCAGCAACCAGCACTGCCCGATCTTGAACTTCCCCCGGTGGCTGGAAGATGAATTAAAATAAAAATAAATAAATGGCGAGATCCAGTTGCTGAATGGATGATTTAATTAAGGCATTCCCTTTGACGCCCTGCCCCGTGCACAGACAATGGACTGGGTTGCTTGATTCGAGGCCTGGATGCTGGCTGGATGGTGAAGAGAGAGGGAGCATAGTAAGTATGTCTGCCTATGATGCGCCCGAGGACAGCGCAACTGCTACAAAGTACCATCGACGCATTCATGTGCTTTGTTATGTGATTGTCTGTATCAACTACCCATTTTGAGTAGCCTAACCCATTCATCGAGCATTACTTGCATACCCGGTTCCATTGTTGTCGGTCGCCCAAACAATGCGACTGTTGTCTAACTCTCTTCAGGGCATCACCGAGACCCCGGGGATGTCCGTGCGCTCCGCTTCATCTTCAAGTCGCTCCAAAAGCACCTGTTAGCCTCGTTCGAAAAGGTACTTTCTCCAGAGCCGTTAAAGTCCGAAGTTCAGTCCCAAAATAAAACAAGTCCGAATCAAAAACAATCCATTTGTCTATGCTATCCAAGAACATTGAATGAAGAGTAAGTACATGGACCGTGACACGAGCCCCCTCCCGGTCTATAACAACGTCACTTACATGTAGCCCTATAAATAACCACCCACGCACACTCTATTCTATATCACACCACAGTGCTGCCCCCCACCCCTCCTGGTACACCCAACCCTCTCAGGTTCATCGCGGTGTCCCTTTCGCCCAGTCCCGGAGAACATTCTTCCTGATTTTCCCCGTACTTGTCTTGGGCAGTTCCGCCACCACCTCCACCTCCCGCGGAAGCATGAACTTGCTGATTTGACTTTGGTTCCGGGCCCAGTCAATCACCTCCTTCCCCTCCAGGTGCCGGCCTTGCTTCGTGGTTACAAACGCCTTGGGTCGCTCTCCCCAATGTGTGTCAGGCACCGCCACCACACCCACCTCCAAAATGTCCGGGTGAGTCACCAGCATGGATTCCAGTGCGACAGACGATATGTTTTCGCCTCCTGTACGACGTTAGCATGCACCGCCCGGACTTTACAAAGGCTGCGACAATAGTTAAGGGGTCTCCATACCGCTGATGATAATATCTTTGGCTCGGTCCAGGATCTGGATCGCTCCATCGGGATGCCAGACAGCCAGGTCGCCGGAATGAAGAACGCCACCAGCAAAGAGCTTCCGCGTCGCCTCGGCATCTTTGTAATACCCCTGAGCACAGATATTTCCAACAAATGCAATCTCGCCGATTTCTTTGCCGTCTCGCTTGACGTCGATAATGGTACCCTCAGGCACGTCCGTCTTGATGACACGCGTTGGCAGACTGGTTAGGAAACCATGACCTTGTCTGGCCATCCTCCGGAACTTCTCATCGCGCGGTAATTGGTCCCATGCGGGCAGCATATAGCACCTCGTAGTAGGACCATACGTCTCCGTCATACCGTAGACATGCACGGGGCGCAAATTCAGACTGGTCATCTGCTCAAACAGATGAGGCGTAGGCGGACTACCCGCCACCTGGACGATAACTGGTGTAGAAAGGCGCTCAGCATCCGGGTGATTGCAAAGAAGCGTGTTCACAGTAGGGGCCGCATTAAAGTGGGTGATGCCCTCAGTCTTGAATAACTTCCAAATTTGCCCATAGTCCACCTTGCGCAGGCAATAATGCGTACCACGCGCAGCAGTAACAGCCCATGGAAACGTCCAGCCTAGGGAACCAAGTCAGTAATCATCCAGGCATGCAATTGAGCTCGACAGCACCCACCAACAGCATGAAACATCGGCAAGATCCACAAATACCGGCAACGGCCATTAAACACATTCAACCCAGACTCGACCACATTCCCCAGGGCCGCCAAATAGGCACCCCGATTCGTGTACTCAACGCCCTTCGGCCGCGACGTCGTCCCGCTCGTATATGCCAAAGCAATAACATCATCCTCCGAACCAGCCTGACTTTCCAGCCCCTCCCAGCCCTTATCCCCAGTAGCAATATCGTACTTCAGACCTTCCAGAACCGCCTCATCAAAGGGACCCGACAGCTGACCCTCCGCGGTATCGGTATCCGTATCAACAATAATGGGAGTCTCCGGCTTCGCCTCCCTGTACACACGCAGCAAGGGCAGGAATTCCTTATCCACAATGATCACCTCCGCCTCCGAGTGCGTGAATATATACGCGATGTCATCTTCTTTAAGTCGGTAGTTCACAGCTAGCAGATATTAGAACCCCTATGTAACGAAAAAAACAAAATACACTCGAAACACAAAATAAGAAAGCAATAATCGACTCACCGATGTTTACCGCCCCCGCAGCCCCAATCCCAAAAATTGACTCTAAGAAAGCCGGCGTATTGGGACACAGAATGCCGACTCTCTTGAACCCGCGTTTCTTCAAAAAATACGCTAACCCTCTTGCCCTGTCCGCGAACTCGAGATAGGTTCGTCGTAGTTCCTGACCATCGGATGTAATGTGGTAAATAGCTTCCGCCTACCGAAACCGAAAGAAGCATCATTTAGCCACAATGCACTCATTCAGTAGACAGACAATATAAAAGAGAAGAACTCACGTCTGGTTCAATCGCCGCTGATCGCTGCAGGAAATAGGCTGGTGAAAGTGTGTGGAAGTTGACTTTGTTATTGTTGTTCTCCCGCAGCGCTGTAGAGGGTCCTTGGGTATTGGATGTAGATGATGCGGAAGAGGAAGAGGAAGGGATAAGATGGCCTAAGAGGCCGGATAATCTATCTTTTGCGGAGGACATGATTGATTCAAAGGGGGTGCTAGATCACTGAGTATTTCTAAGGAATGGCTGGAGGATTGGTAGAATGACTGACTAGCCAATAGAGAGAAAGAGGGGATAATTGAGTGTGTGTGACGAGACAGGGAAGAAGAGGGATGTGGTGAGGAGAAGAGAAGGAGGAAGAAAAGGGAGGGGACCCTTCTGATTTAGTGAGGAAGCGAGCTACACCTCCGAACCGAGGGTAAGTAGACTAATAGGTAGTAATACATAATAATAACTGATGGAGAGAGGCACACACAGAGAGGAACAAGATGCGGGGGAGCGATCACCGTCGGTAAGCGGAGACGGAGAAGAAAGCGGACGGGGACCAATTCTTGGGCTGGGCTGGGCTGGACTAGTGGCGGGTGTTCCATCTACTATACCTAAAGTATGTCTGTTCAACACCCCTTGAGTAATAAATATGCGAATTGAACATCCTGCAGAGAATTCATCCTCTTATTTTCAGAATCAATCAATTGATCTACTTACTCAATACCAACAATAGCCAGAATCATACCATTGATACTTTACTAGACCATAACCAGACCGATCATAAAATAGACTAACTAACTCACCGGATTCGGGTCCGTTTCCACATCCACCGTGCTGTCTGTAGTGCCTGTACCCACTTAGTAGCAATCTCCGGACCAAATTCAATCTATGGTCACACTCATCGCGTGCCCGTGCTTTTTGAAACAATCTTTGCAATTGATGTATACTGAGAACGAAGAATAATTGTACAATAAGCGGAATACATACAGGGATTATGATTCACACAGGCATACTGAAGAAAATCTCTGAACAAAGTCAGCCAACTACTAGCCTGCCATATCACGGCTAACGCTAACAGCCTCTAATGATCAATTGATTGACACCGGTGTTTGGAATTCTGCAGCTACGTTAGTGCGGAATGGTCGATGAGGATTATTTAATCTATCCATGGAGTAGGTATGGGATAACTAGATGGGATTGAGACAGATAGTCACTTCCTATGCCTTACGATATTAGCTAAGTCGGAACCACTATTCTGAAGAAGAGGTGGATCCCAAATGATTTTATCCGCTGCCCAGGCGGTGCCATGATTAACCGATCTCTACTATCTACTATCAATAGCGGTTATCGTAGGAGTGGATATGGAACTCGGATGGGCAAGTTGAGTCCCTACCTGGTTTACTGATACGGCTCCCTCTACGCAGGTAGTGACCGACTATACATCATCGGGGCTGGCAATCGGTGGCGCTCAGGGTAACATTTTACACAGGAATAAGATAGGGCAGCATCGCGTGGGCACGGCATAGGTGATCAACATGGAGCCTCGTCCGGCATCCTGGGTAGTCGCATATCGCAAATCAAGTACAAGATAGGCAGTACTCTGTCTCTCTCTCCGTGTCCGGGGGCCTAGAAATACACAAAATTGCAAGGGGCCAGTAGTAGTAGTAATAGCGGTGGTAAATGGTGCATCGGATTCGTCACAGCAAAGTCATTTGAACTCTTGAAAAGAAATTCTTGGATTAAACCGCCACGGCGCGAAATAACGGGTCAGCTATTTTGAACAACCTTTCATCCCAAGTGACTCCTGTATTTTTTTTTTAGAAAGAATCGATCTCTCCAGCCTCCATGTGCGTCACAACGTAAGAATTGTGGTATTTCATGAAAAGGTAGGGACAGTGAGAGAAAGGTCGATCGGCTTGCTGTCCATTTTCTTCGCAGAGAACCGTTTCGCGATCCCATCCCATCCCATCACAAACACAAGCAACCAGCCGCGCAACTAGGTATCTAGTATCCGTACTGAGCGAGCTGGCTCTTGGTCTGCTCGTTAACACCCGCCGACTTCTGGGCGTGGACGAGTTGGCGGCGAGCGGCCTTCTTGCGCTCGTAGTATGCACTGCTCTTAACCTTTCTGCGCTCCTCAAGTCTGTAAGAGTAGAAAAAACGAATCCGTTAGCCTTCTGCACCCAATATTCCAACATCTCCCATTTTATCCTCTCCACTTCAGCATAAACGTACCTGGCAACAACGTCCTGGTACTTCCAGCCAACCTCGTGGCTGAGACGACCAACGGTGCAGTACTTGCGGCCGGGGCGCAGGCGGAGAACACGCAGAGCCTGGGGAACGACAACGCGCTTCTTCTTGTCGTAGGGGGGAGGAACACCCTCGAAAACCTTCAGGCGCTCCATAGCGGCGGCACCACGGGCGGTCTTGTGGGGGATCATGCCGCGGACAGCCTTGTAGAAGATGCGGGAGGGGGCACGGAAGTGGAAGGGACCTGTAGCGATTCAGCACGGAGTCCCGCAAAAGATATAAGTGTCGTCTTTCCCCATCAGAGGGGGAAAGTCATCGGGTAGTCTCACCTCCGCGGGTGGGGTTGAAACGAGTCATCTTGCGAAGGTAGGCGTGGTACTTGACTATATCGCGAAATCCAGGTCAGCCCGTTGTCCACCAGCACAGATGTGTTGCTTGTTCCTCCAGAGATATTCCAATCAATTGCCGATGTCCTCCTCCATATGTCGAAAACCGTCGCACTCCCATTCATCCCAAAGAAAATCCATATTGCAGAATGAAATCGAAAGAAACCGGGTCGGATAGAACATACGCTTCGCACGGAAGAACTCGCCGGAGATGTTGAGGGCTTCACATCTCACGACGACAATCTTCTGACCGTTGAGCAGCTGCTTAGCAACAGTGCTGGCCAGGCGACCCAAGAGGTGTCCCTTGCCGTCAATGACGACCTGCGAAAACCCAAGAATTCAAGTCAGCGACAAATGTACTTCTGTATATGAATTTCCGACTCCAGGACCCTGAACGCCCTCATTTGACACATGTGTATTCAATTTCAAGGAGATTGTATGTGGATGATAGTTTCGGGATGGGGCGGTACGCACGACTGGCTCGATGGCGGACATCCTGCTCTCTGTCACCGGTTCAAAAAGGATATATCCAGCGAAAGGAAGAGCGCTGCTCTAGGATACTCCCTTGGGATGTATGTTGTCGGCGGTTGTTGTCGTTGGTGGGCAGGTTCAACGCACACAACGATGTCGGATGAGTTCGCTGGTCGTCGCTAAGCGAGCGGCGCTACTTCCTCTTTGTGCGGGAAGAGCCCCGTTCGAGGGCCACAGCCCTAACGCCCGTGGCTTGTAGGTCACGTGAACCGTTCCGGATCGTCAAGGGGCCCTACGATTTCCCTGATGATTTTATTAGTATTATGATGCCTGTCCTGAAGTCCATGTGGATTTGGGTTTTGCGATGGAGTTCGGATAGGTTGGCTCGGTATTACAACTACTTACATCGGCAGTGGTGTACTTACCCCTAGGGATGGTATATTTCATTGTGGTAATTGGTGCCGTCATGTTCCATCGACACCATGCTAAGTCCACCCCGCAAATACTGTATCGCGACACTAGATAGAGACCCAGTCTTCCCCCAGACAGTCCAGGCACTCCCTACTATTAGTACTCAAATTTCAAAATATGACTTTTCCACGGTCGCATACATACATATTCAAGAATAGCAAACGAACCTTTTATTGCAACTCGACCAGCCATTGATGTCTGATTAGCAGAGAATTTTTCTTAATATCCAAGAATGTAAACGCCATCCGAGCAAGATCTCCGGGTCCAGCGAGGGTCTGTATATTGTCTAGAAAGGAAACATTATTGTATACATTAATATTAATATTATCAAGTACGCTCTGGCGTCTTCACATGCCGGCTTTTTTCTGTTCAGCGAAAGAATTCAAACAACCCGTAGCGCCCAAACAAATCCAAAAAAAAAAAAGAGGGCATTAGCTATATGTTCTTGGCGTGTATATTCTTGAATATCATGCGGCGTTAGAATATCTTATTTCTAGTCACATTAAGCGGTGACATCCGCTTAGTATAACGGTTGATTTGCGTCGTGCGTGCCCCTGGCAATGACCTCTTCGAGAGGCCAACGGGGAGGCTCAATCGTCCTGGGTCCCTTGGAGCTATCGTGCGCAGACAATGGTTCCCTCAAGCCACCTGCAATGCCCGAAGAGAATTTCAGCTCCAACGCATCGCCGATTTCATCGCACGCCTGCAGGATGCGATCCAGGTCGTCTTTGGTGTGGGCGGCTGAGATGCAGAGTCGCGCCCGAGACAGCTCCAGGGGCGTGGCAGGATAGGTCACAACAACCACGGAGATTTTGCGACGCAGCATTTCTCGCGAGAAGGCAGGCATTTTGGCCGGATTGTACAGCATCAATGGCACAATTGGAGAGTCATCGTGTCCGTAGACGATGAAACCCAGTCTCTTCAATCCGAGCCGAAGGTAGCGCGAGTTGAAGGCGAGGCGCTGCATCCGCTCCCGTCCCTCGCCCGGGTGAAGAGGATCCTCATCAGCAATGAGTCGCAGCGAGGAGTAGATCTGAGCAAGAACAGGAAGCGACGGTGCTTCTCCAAATATTTGACCAGCGTTTGTGCAGCGAATCTTGTCAATGATGGCTTTGTCGGCCGCGATATAGCCACCGTTGGCTCCGAAGGACTTGGTGAATGTTCCCATCAGGATGTCGACCTCTGCCGGATCTACTTTGAAGTAGTCACAGACTCCGGCGTCCGTACGTCCAACGGCTCCAATGGAGTGTGCCTCGTCCACAAACAGGTGGAACTTGTATTTCTTCTTCAATTCCAGTATCCGAGGAAGATTGCACATGGTACCTTCCATGGAGAACAGACCCTCCACGGTAACAAGAATTTTCTTCCATGGCCTATGCGTGCGGGGCTGACCTTGAGAGATTGCCTCCCTGAGACGCTTTTCCAGGTCAGCCATGTTGTTGTGCGCGAAGACCTGGATGGCCGCGCCAGACAGACGAGCGCCAAATCGGATAGATGCATGGTTGAGTTCATCGGACAGGATCAGACATCCCTTTTCCATGATGGAAGGGAAGATAGTCGCATTCGTCACAAAGCCCATGGAGAACACAACTGCGGCTTCCTTCCCCACAAAGCGAGCAATTTGATCTTCCACCTCGGCATGCAGCTTTGTAATCCCCCCTTCGGGGGTCGATGCAATGCAAATGCCATCCCGCCGGAGTACCTCCTCGGCATAGTCGGTGCATGGGCCTTCCGATTGAGCAAAACCCAGATAGTTATACGAACTCAGATTGAGCGTATCCGTCGTCGTGCCCGTAAGTCTAAAGTGGAGGTTGTCTTCAGTCGTCCGGTCCAACAGCGTAACATGCCGGCCCGGAACACCAATGATCGGCCTCTCGAAGCATGTCATTGATCCGTTGCTTCAAGCGTCGCGTATAGAAACTCTCGAAATCGCTGTACAATGACGCATAGCCATTCTGAGGTTTCAAGTGGCGGTACGTATGGGAGCGAAACCACTTATCCACGAAATCATGGAAGTGGCCGAGGAAGATTAGCACGAGGAAGCTGACGTAGGTGGTCAGAACGAAGAAGTACGGAGGCTCATCAATGACCGGATCAGGGATCTCTCCGCCAGGATGCTCGCTGGTGTAGAGATGCGACGGATCGCCCAGGGGTCCGAACTCGGCGTGTTGCTTGGCTAGCTTTCGAATCGCTTCCGGGTCGGATGGTGCCTGGTCTTGGGTTACTGCTGTCGTTCTTATGGCATCGGGAGAGCAGCCACTAACAGCGCGAAGGGAGGCCACAGCAGTAGAATGGGCTGCAGGGGAGTCGGAAGATACACCGGAATTGCCGCCGCTGGTCGCTGCATCCTTCTCGGGGCGTGGTTTACTGCGCTTCCAGCGAGGCATCATGAAGCAGAGTGGCTGAAGGTGTCCCGTCAGCCACAACCAGCGATGATACTGATGGTGAAGAATGCAGCTAGGATACCGGCGGCAGAGCAGAGTATGGTGAGTAGGGAGGGGGAACAGCGGAAGGTTGTATCGTGAGGTCGCTGAAGCGTGATTCCTTCCATCATGTAATGGTGAGAGGCGGTTCCACTCGGCTTGTTCGGGGGAGAGATTGGCGCCCGATCATTGGTGGCTGATGCCGGACGCCTCCGACGGGACAGGCGGAGACTTTCGGAGTTCATTGGCCAGACCGCTGACTCAGCATGGCCTGATGGATGGCACGTGGACGCACCTGTTGCATACTTAGTATTGCATAGTAGTTAGTGTCCATACTGTTGCTTAATGTTAATTCGAATAATCAAAATCATGACAAGACTTGTCCATTCGTCAGGTGGTACAATTCTTGGGGTGCAGTGCTAAAGCCTTCTAGTAAATTCTCTGCCTAGGGCTGACATACGTATATGGACGACAGCTGATGTTGGACGACCAGACTTTAGAGTGACCGCATCATTTGAAACTACGCCTGTTGTCACAGCAGCTATAGTCCGCTCCGCTTTAGGTAACACAAAAACGCTTTCTCTAAGCCTTCACCGAAATAGTAACGCCATCGGGCTGTGCTGACAGCTCAACACGAGGAGGGCGTTCGATAAAGGAAAATATCATGAAGTTGCGTCGAAAGACACGTTTTGTCTGTGTCTCTGATACACACGCCTACACGCCGTCGGAGGCCGGCTTCAAGCTTCCCGCTGGTGATGTCTTAATCCATGCCGGTGACCTCACCAACCACGGGAGCGCTGCTGAACTGCGTAAGACAATGAGCTGGATTGCTACAGCTGACTTCGAAGTCAAAATCATCATCTGCGGTTCGTCTTCTTCCCATCAAGACTGCCGTATATTGGGCCTCCAAATACGGCCTTTGTTGTCCGAGAGGGGCCACTCGTAGGGCTGAAGGACAAAAAGAAGTCAAAAGGCCAAAGGATACGTGCTGAGTACTGGTAATCATCAGGAAACCATGATATCACACTAGACCCGGGTTTCTACGCTGAACACGGCTCTAGCTTTCACGGCCAACATCTAGAAGATACCCAGAAGTGTCTGGAAATTGTAACCCAAGCGTCACCGTCGATAGTCTATCTCAGGCACCAGTCAGCACTAATCCGGCTGACCCGGCCTAACGGCCCGAAGACCATCTTCAAAGTCTTTGGCTCTCCATACTCCCAGTCATCTGGAACTTGGGCGTACGGATACGAGTCTTCAAATGCTGGTGCGCTTTGGAACAGCATTCCACTGGATACGGATATCACCGTGACCCATACTCCGCCTAACTCCCACTGCGATAGCCGAGTTGAAGGCATCTCAGTCGGATGCACAGCCCTGCGGGGTGCGTTAAGCAAAGTTCGACCGTCGCTAGCAATATGTGGCCATGTACACGAGTCGAGAGGCTCGGAGAGGGTGCGATGGTATACTTCGCAGGCATCGCCATCACAAACCGTGGATGTACAAGGACATAAGGATCCGGTTATTCTGCCTCCCCCGGGCAGTAAAAAGCAGAGCCTTGTCGATCTCACGGGCAAAAAGGCACCCACACTAGACAACAATCAGTTTGCCGGCAATAACCTTCGAGCGCCAGTCAGTCAACTGTTCCAATCATCACAACATGCTCTGCTGTTACCGTCTTCTGGGTGGCCATCTGATGGATTCCAAGGCTCTGAAGCCGATCAATCAACGTCATCCTCCGTGCCTTTGTGCTTATACGAAAGACACACTGGGAATGAAGATGGGCCTTGTTTAAGGCGACGCGAAACATGTATTGTCAATGCGGCGATCGTGGCGACCAGTTGGCCGCATCGGGGTGGGAAACGGTTCCATGCCCCTATTGTGGTCGATCTAGAACTACCAGTCTGGGAAGAGGAAAATGGGGGAACTGAACCCCACGGCTAGAGAGTGTAGCTCGTATCGTCTGTCCTGAATGGCCAGGCTAGCATTGACTCCGACGATTGGCTGTGCAAGGTGGAATATCTCTTGTCGTGCAGCAGGCAGCTTGAGCTTTGACCTGCGGTTTGACGTATGGCCGACCGTTTCGGGTGGGATGCATCACTGGTTGCCTTGGATTTGGGGGACACTTCAGCCATGTAGCGCACTTCGCTCCATACTGTTTTGAGTATATACACCGGCCTGGTTGGGACTGATTGTCGGTCATTGTAAAGGAGCAGGAATAACTTACGCTGTGACTCAAGAGCAGCAAGGCGGTGGTGTGGTGGTGATGCTCCCTAGCTCCCTTGCTCTTTGTCTTGTGTCGGGCCGTCATTTGATGAGCCAGAAACCCGGGTTGAACAAGTAGTAGATCGGGAAAGCAGGGGCAGCGTGGTGACCGGGGGGATGTAAACAGCATGATGATCACTGGAAGCTTACGTGAAACTCATAAGCAGCAAATGAAATCGGGGGTGCCAGCCTGGAAGTGCTGAATTGACATGCAAGATCATCTGAAACATGATGTGGATGAATGACATCCTTTGCTCATTATAGTAGATTGGAACAGGATCACCAAGTCAGCCTGAGACGGGTATGGTAGTATGAAATGAACTGCACTCTAGGTCCGTGACTGGAGCCGGAGGGAGATATCTACGACCATTCCTTTGGGAAACCACCAGTCAGAGCCCAGGAGTAGAAATCGTCTAAAATAGGCCGGGGGATGGAGGCACTTGATGCTGTCCTATGAATGACAGTGATGAAGTGTGGCGGGGTTGAAAGGGAGAATCGAGTCCTGCCAACCCCTACTTTGGCTCCTGACTGCCAAGTGTGAGCGGACCCTGTGAGCACACCTCCCTCTATTCCTGCTTGTATGAAGAACATCCGGACCGTCCAGGAAAGTGCCATGTACTGTGGCAGGTACGTGGAGAATCAGATCGTCGAGTTATATCTGTATTGTTAGTACTCTCGTAGCTTCTTACCCACAGTGGGTCTTGGATAGTTCAGCAATCTGGGAAGAACCGATCTGCTCCGCTACAAGCTATGATGTCAATTGGATTGGGTGGTCTCCGATTAACGTATACGTTAAGTCTTGAAGCAAAATAGTAAGCTGCATTACAACTGAAAATCCTCGATGGTCTAACGGTCATGATTTCCGCTTGTCAATCCTTCACAGGAACAAGCGCGGGAGACCTGGGTTCGACTCCCAGTCGGGGAGATTTCTTTTTGCACTTGATTGCCCTGAGGCTGTCTCAACTGCGCCACAAGAACTCGAGACTGTTTTTTATTTATTTATTTAATTTTTTTCCTGGTCGAGACAGATTCACGCATCGTTTGCTAGACGGATTTCAGTCGCTGAGACATTCTACGATTGCACAGCATGAGCACCGAGCCACCATCTGGGGCACCTGACAGTGTCGCAAGGCGGCAGACGACTAGTCGAGCTGATGCTGTGAATTAGACCACCATATTACCACTCCCTCTGCTTTCCAATATAGCATTTAGCTGAGCCAGGCATGAAATGGCTTTTAAAATTAGGAGTCAGCTATGAAGGCATAAGCTGAAAATGTTAAGAGATGCGTACGTAGGCAGCCCGCCCGTAACGACACTGCCGGGATCAGGGCGTGGGATGAAACCGAGCAACGCCACAGAACTTGAGGTTAGCGCGCTAAAGAGGCCTTGATGTCCCTCCATTCAGCCGTAGCCACCGATTTGCGATGGGGCCGGTGGGTAACGAGCGATGCTCAAGAAGGCTAGGTAGCCGCCAAACTGGATTGATAAGATGCAGTTGGAGTTGATATTCGCCAACACCATTGGTGGTGAGCGCCGTGGTTTAACCCCCCGGGTGCAGCTGGCTGATGAGGGGGGGCTGTTTCGCAATGCTTACTGCAACCCTAACATTGGACGCGTAGGTAACCTCTACCACGAGGCACTTGGGACCTCCACACCCCACATGAAGGCCTGCATTGGCGGATGATGTGAGCCAGCAAGGTACGTACCGTAGGACAATGTGGTCAGCCAGTCTCACAGGCATGGGCCTCACAGGAAGTCCCCTGCTTATTGCCTGTCACCTCCACAAGGAACACGCCGGGATTTCAGCGTTCATCGGAACGTGTCATACGAATGCTGTAGTAGTACACACCATATCGGCTGAGTCGATGGGTAATTGTCGGGGCCGCATCAACCGACTCGCTCGGCCTGGCAGGCAAAACAATGGGCGCTTCATATGATAGCGCGCCCGAGCCGACGATGGGCCCAGAGCCCGGGCAAAGCTTTCGAAACTGAGCACAGCTCCATTAAGCTCCTGTTAACGTTTTGCATCAGTTCTGCACTTGCGAGCCTTGACGAAGAGCTGGTGCACCACCGCCCCTTGAACCAAGGCTATTGAGAGCCCCTCATTGGATGCGCGGGATCGCGAAAGTGAAGCATCGCCATGCAAACTAATGCCGGGACAATCATTGCATGGACAGCGGGCGCGAATTGTTGGCTGAGCCGTGCAGCAGACATCGGGTGCAGATGACTTTGCCCAGGGTCCAATTACTCCTTCGAGAACAATCAGCTCGGCGAGGAACGTTCGGTGCGGCGTGTCATGGGCACGGATAACCTGGGGGTGGGACAGGCGAGATAGGCTGACAGGCCATTGCGTGGTGCAAGACAAACCGAGCAACCACTACGATCCCATTCCAGGGTGAGCAAGCCTGCCATGTTGCCATGCTCTGTATCAGCCGTTTTTAACTTTGGCCGTTTGATGCCGATCAAATTGATAGATCTACACGATTCGGGGCCCTACCCCGCGAAACTCGCAGGATACACCTTGTGACAGAAGAAATCCGTATGGAAACCATGCCACTGACGAGCATCCATGTTTTTTCTTTTCCCTTCCCTTGGTAGCCGTGAGGAACCGGGAGTAGTAGATAGTAGTTTCTGAATAAGCCCAGGGACGGAGATAAATGAAGGGCGGGACCTTCCGGAAACAATCCACGGGACTAATTCACGCGCGCCCGGACCGGATCGATGGATGATGATGGGCTGTAACCACGGACGCCCCTCCAGGTACCATAGCAACAATCCAACATGTTCCTGGAGTCTGTCAGCCAGCCGAGGTACCTTTTTTATTTTATTTTATTTTTCTTTTACCCCACGCATAGAAAGAGGTGTCATCCCTGTATACGAATGAGTATATTTTGCCTTGGGCTGGTCCACTCCACCGGCCTAGTCCGTCTGAAGTAGTAAGGATGCCGCTGTAGAGCAAAACCAAGAGGAAGAGGGGAGAGGAGGGAGAGCAGCGAATTCGCTGAGCCAATTCCAGACTACCGAACCCAGCGCATCGTGTCCGGTGAGGCGACCCCAAAATAGGATGCAGCTAGCAAGAGCGCATACGCAGGTGACCGCCGATGTGATTGGACTGTAAATCCCTCCCGGTGAAGGGCAAAGGCTGTGAGCATTAAAGGGCTCAGCCTATAAGGGGCCAAAGCAGACCCAAGATGGTGTGTGGAAGTCGATCCAGTCCGTTGCAGTTTGCCAGTCGGCGTTTGGAAAGGAAAGTGAGGGAAGTGGAGGTGGTGCGGGGTTTCTTTCCTCGCTGTTTTTTGGTGGATGACAACTGGACCTGACTGGTCAGCATCCCCCGTGGTGTGCACAAGAAGTGTTCCGATCGAAGCAAACGTCGCTGATTAGTTGGTGATGGAAGTCTCTGTGGTTCAATCAGAGCAATGAGGGAAGCAGATTCTGTTACGAAGTACTACCACCGGTACTTATGGGAGGTAGTACGCAGTAGACTAGATACTACTAGCTAGTCATTATCAGCCTAAGAACCAAACAGTACTGACTGGTTAGATGGTAGTAAGTAGTAAGAAGATAGTAGTACTCACCAGGCACAGCATATCTTTTTCAGCTACTAACCTACTACTGCTATTTAGCTAGTTACAAAGTAGACTAGTATTTACTAGATGGATAGTCAAAAAGTCACTGCTCGTGGGAGGCCCCGCAGATCAGACTGATGACGGTCGCAAGTCGAATTCGCTCATCTGCCGGGGACCACCAGGTGGATGACCAAACAGACACTCGTCCTGCAGACACCCATGGCTTAGTCTCCTCTGCGTCGTAACTTTGACGCTAGCAATGGGACAGGCAAGATGGATTTCTGGCCAAGCGCCAGCCGTGACCGTGATGAAGATGTGACTGAGAACGGCCCAGCATCTCCCTCTCACTCGATGCCGTAGTCGCACATAGGCTTCAGGGTTTGCGAGCAGCAAAATGATACGAAGGTGAAAAGAAGTCGAGGCTAGCTCTGATGATAGTTCTCTCGTTCGTACCTTGAGTCTTCTCGCCAGGTACCAAGCCCTCCAATGAAGATGGTTCCTCCATGGATCGGAGATAAACCCACGGTCAAACACAACCGGGGTATTTGTACCACATCAGGTCCAGTTTCATTTCCTTCGTTTGCAGGATGATACGTCTCATTCTCTAGATCACCTTCTGGTGGCTGTTTTATAATAATAATCTTCGATCCTGTATCCTGTATTCTTATGCCTCCTGTTATCTCCTTCCTGGACATTGTATGAACCAATTGTCCTGCCTTCATTCTGCTTTCCTCTTCAAAGGCATCAATGATTGACCGCTCCTTGCCAATCGTTCATCGTTGGTTCTCCATTGCAAGTTACCTGTTGACGGTGGTTGTCCCTCGCAAAGCGGGCCCTTGGGCTTCCTCGTTGTGACAAGACCCCATCGTTGGTTTCAGTTTCCCACTTCACCGCTGCTTTGCAGTCCATCGGTTGGCTCCCTCTGCACGAAGGACTTTCAAAGGCAGAGGATCATTATCATACCTTCATTGCCATCCTCCTGCTGCTCATCTTCATAATCATCACTGCTACAGAGAGATTAACCCAGACGATCCGACTCTTATATCGTCATTGTTGCCAATCCTGTTTCAACCAGTTGTCCTCCCTGCTGCTAAGTTAACTACTAGTCCTACTACTACTACTACTTGCCAACTTCTTATACAACCGATATACTTCCTATTTGGCGGGCCTAAACCCAGCAAGGACAATCCAACCAGGCGCAGCTGGTGGCATCATCGAGCGTCTTCTAATCCGCATTATTCATCGACGTTGGCGTCTGACCAGCTACCTCACTCGACCAGCAACCCTGACTAAACGTGGTGCCACTTCATCTGACCATCCTTTAGTCTTAGTCGATTTGGCTGCTTTTTCTACTTTTAGCTTGCTCTCTCAGTCTCCAGTAAACCAGCGTGGCGCAGTGTGCTTGGGTCCGATTGTTTGGCGGTATTTGCCCGTTGGGGGGAAAATCCCTTTGATTTTTCTCTCTCTCTGTCTTGTACTGTGTATTATTTTGACTTTTTCCCCTTTTGCCCCTCAGCAACTGGTTCGCCTCTCCCGACCAGATAGGAATATTCCCCTCCCTGAGTCTTGAGTGAACTGGAGTGCATCCACTCTCCTTACTCTCACTGACCCGCCAGAACTGACTGACTGATTGATTTCTTGTCTGGTTTGCTGGGCGAAATTACCCGGGCCAAGTACTGCCCCCAGCTGTTCCCCTCCCCCCTCCCCTCCCTCTCTTTTCTTGGGTACTTGGGAGTCTTCCTGCCATACACCGGGGCATCCATCAGTAACCATACCTGAAGTCTACCAACTAATTCATTATTTTGGGTTATTCTGCCTCGCTATTTTTCCCCCCCCTCCCCTCCACCCTCTCGCTTTCTCTCTTTGGTTTATCCTGCTGCAGCACTCCAACCGGACTTTTACTAGTGACTCTGGTTCTGCATGGTTCATATTCTCACTCATCATAAACTCCCCGTGTCTCTCCTTTTACTCATTATTACTCATTAATCCCATTCCAATTCACTACCTACTTACTCCCCCTTCTGCTGCCGGTTTCACCCTGCCCTTTTGTCATCCTGCTTCTCCCCTTTCCCCTTCTTTCGTCTTCTCCGGCCTTCTCCATGAATTGGCCGCATATCCGATCGGGACAATCCTGACTATGCGCCATTGATCGTCAAGCACCCACGTCACCCCATCGAGCCGTCTATCCGCCCGCCTTGTCCATCTCAGCGTACCTTACACATCCGCGCTATCGCTGCAACCCTCCGGCTTCGCCTCCCTCCGTTCAGGTACTTACCGCTTCTGCTGTCCTCCACGCTTCTTATATACAACGCCACACCGCGGCACTTGTCGCTTTCCTGTCGCTCTGCATTTATCATCACTCTGTTTATTTAAATCACCTGTCGATCCTACATTGAGGCTGGTTTTTATGTTTTCTACCCCATCTTCCACTAGTGTCTTCTGCAGACCATGGCAGCCGCGCCAGATATCGATCCATATGAGGTGTTGGGGGTGGCAAGGGATGCAGCCTTGTCGGATATCAAATCTGCCCATCGCAAGCTCGTGTTGAAATGTCACCCCGATAAGATCAAAGATGAGTCGCTGAGAAGTCAGGCTCAGGATGAATTTCAGAAGGTGCAGCAGGCCTACGAGACCCTTTCGGATGAGACGAGAAGGGCCAAGTACGATGCGAAGGCTCGGCTGGCTGAGCTACGTCGCCAAATGCATGAGCAAGGTGTACCGATCAATGGTTCATCTGCCTATGCCGCCCCGCGCGCAAGTGGCTCGAGTGGCCCTCGCGAGTATCGCAACGGACGGTACTACGAGGAGAGGACGCCGGCTGATGCAGCCACCTATTCCGATGACGATCTCCAATTCTCCGAAGAGTCGCGCTCAACCTCCCGGAAATACGATGAGTATAAGAAACGATACTCCTCCAAACCCCCGAGCGAGAAGAAGAAAAGCAAGAGCGATGGCCCTAGTACTCGTGCGGCGAAGGATATGGCTCGCGACAATTCGAGGACGACCCACAGCAGTCGTGCCAAATATCGTACCAGGGAACGACAACGGGATGCCTACGAGTAAGTATGAGCGGGCCGTTCCGTACAGCGACTCCGAAGACGATGGCGGCGCATCTGATTCCAGCGCCTCGTCCACGGTTTACGTGAAGGTTAAGCGCCCCTCGGAAAGGCGCAACCGGGAGTCATCTTCTCGCAAGTCCCGACCGGCTGACCTCCCGCGCCGCCATACCTCGACCCGCTACGAAGACGAGTACACGGACGACTATGAGTCGAAGCATGACAAGCTACACCACACCGCCAAAGATTACATTAGGCGCTCCAAGGGAACCGTTCCGATCGAAATCGACAGACGTCCACAAGCGTCCCGCTCGCCCCCGCGCAATCATGGCTACGAATCCGCTGATCCGGAGTCTTCCTCGTCACGACACTCGGGCCGCACGAAACGACCGAGCAAGGAAAGTGTTCGTACAAGTAATTCTCGCAATGGATCATACGAGAAGCTTGAGGCCCAGGCCCGGTCCTACGACGTCAAGATACCTAGCATACCGACTACGGCAACTTCACCGTCAGTGAAGATTCCTTCATCGGTCCGGCCATCCCTCCAGCCCTCACGCTCTGCGAGCGCTGCACAATCCTATTCCCGCGCCAGGGGAATGAGTCGGGAAAATCCACTGCATAACATGGTCCATGAAGCGAGTCGGACAGCGAAACTGCGAACGGACAAGTACGATTCCGGCTACTCGAGTCCAGGCACGCCAGAAATGGCAGCCGGCGAGAGTCCGCCCAAGTCGACTCGCTACAAGATTGTGACGGAACCGGACACCGTGCTTAGAGAACCCAGTATACCACTACCCCAGAAGTCCCCAAGATACGCAAGGGGGGGTTCACCGCCACATCAAGAGCGCCCTATGCCGAAGCCTCCCGTTCGGAGTAGCACCTACACCTACCCCACAGAACACATGCGCTATGAGTCCGCGGCTCGTCCCAGTATGTCCCGGCAATCCTCGAGCCGGCCTACGTATGGTGAGATCCGTTCGCCCAAGGACAAAGAGTACAGGTATGCGCGAGAGGTGGGGCCAGATTACATCCCATCCCGCGATGCTTACATGCGACAGCCATACGGGGAGTACCCGGTTCCGCCCCCCGAACGGCGGCAATCCACATATGCTGGATGAGCGCCGATGATGACTCGAGGAGTCGGGTCTACAACTGACCACATCCGCTGAACTACACAACTTGCTGCAACAGCAAGCCGCACTCTTACCCTCACACACCTCCCCGCTCTAGAAGCTCATTTTCTTCGCCGATAGTCTCTGAGCACTAGCATGCCTTGACGTCTTACATGTCTGACCGTTAGACGTCAATGCATGCTACCCCCCCTCTCAGCTATCACTGTTTTGCGTATACGGTCCATGTTCGATGAGTACCATGTCATAATTTGTCATTTACCCCTACTGATTCTGATATTTTCGCCTCCCCCTTTTTCTTACCACTACGATATACCTGTTTTTATTACTATAACAACATCCGCCACTCAGTCGGCGCTCGGACCAGGGCTATCTGTTCACCCTGTTGGTTGCATTTCTGGCTTTTTGGATTGCTTGGTTTTGGTTTTTTTGGATGGTGTGGCCATGAATGAAATCTCGGCGGTAGGACTGAACACACTTAGGAGTACATGATGATGATCACGAATGACGAAATTGATGCTGAAATGTGGGTGGGCTTTGCATGACTCCCACCCTATTTACTACAGAGGAAAGAAGAAACAAACGAACCATAGACGTGATTTTATTTTTCTATTTTTTTTCCCTTGGTGCATTTTCAATTTAGGTTTCTCAGGCATAAAGAACTGCCCCGGGTTCGGGTATCTATGCAGTTCGAAGATCGTATATAACTATTAGTTGTACAGAGTTCTTAGTGTCCCAATCGTTAAGGCTGATGATGAGGAAGGTTTGGGTACGTAGGTTGATGGTGGATACCTGCCTCCTGCTGATAATCGTGTGATACGATGTGTATCTTCGGTATATACTTCCTGGTGATTCTATCGGTGAAGTCATACATCACACGTTAGTAGTTCTTGACTAGTAGGAGTTCAGATAAACATGAGACGGATAGAACGATGTAGTATGATGGCATAGATTACTTGGATTTCATCATACAGGCAGTGTGCTTCTATCTATTGTAATGTATCAGTTCCTCATACTACACCGCTATGATCATACATACATACATACATGCATACACACACTGTGGACAGTGACTATCATCACATGAAGGCGAAGATATTTCCTAGACGCGAAACTAAGCAAGAGACAACGAACCCGATCCACAAGAACCAGACAACCCACAGCCACATATATACATCAATCAACAACTCCATACCATATAGTACAGACATATCTACTACCCACCCCTAACCCAGCCATACAACCCAAACCCCCACCCCACCACCCTTCCCAAAGCCGCCGGCACTCCAAACTTCAACCACGTCGAAACCTTCCAGACATCCGCCTCAGGCACAACCACACCCTGACTCTTCCAATTATCCCCATCCCCATCCCCCCCTACCTCCCTCCCCATAAAACTCCCCACCGCCTCCCAAACTAACCCGCCAACAACCTCCACCCGACTCAAAAACACCGAATGACTCGCCCCCTCCACCTCCCTATACACCACCCTCAACCCCGGACACATCCCCCTCGCCATCCCCACGCCCACCCTCTGCATCAGTACCGGCAGTCCTTTATCCTCCCCAGTCCCAATATACCAGCTCGGGACGTCCTTCCACCCGGCGTACGAGTACTCGCCGCCCTCGAACAGCGCTTTCAGACTCTGCGGTCTGAGCTGCGATACCCAGTACCGGGCTTCTTCCTCGGGGAGGTCATGGTAGAAGAGCTTGCGCGGGGAAGTGGCTAGCTCTGCGAACCCGGTGGTGTGGTTTGCGCGCCAGGAGGGCGGCGGGTGGCCTAGGAAGGGGTCCATGAAGGAGAGGCCCGTTAAGGTGTAGCCGGAGGCTATGAGGATTAGGCCGATGATGATGCCGGATGAGGGTGATGAGGGAGAGGTAAAGCCTTTGATGGCGCTGTTGGCGACCATGCCGCCGTAGGAGTGCGCGATCAGGACGACATTGCGGCCGTGGTGGATTGTTTCGGTGATGATGGCGGCGCGGGTGGCGTCGAGGTCGTCTTTGAATGTGGCGGCGGGGTCGCCGGTTGTTGAGGGGAGGGTGATGGTGGTGCAGTGCAGGTCTGGGTGGTGGGTTTGCAGGTGCGTGATGAGTTTGGAGTAGCAGGTGGGTTGATGCCAGGCGCCGGGGATGAAGATTAGGGTTGGGAGGGGTGGTGTGGTTGTAGTTGTAGACATTGTAGTATTGTAGTATATATAGAGGGTAGTGTGGGGTGTGATATATATCTTTGGGACGGTAGGTGTTGGGAAGGCTTGTATAAGGGTTGATTGTTGTTTGGGTAGAGTAGAAGAATTAACTCTGGAAGAAGTGAAGCCAATTGACTGCCAGCAACAAAATTAGGAATTGTTCAATGATATCGAGGATAAGAAGACTGCATCTCGAGAAAAGTTCTGGATTGCGGGACCGATAGTCGGAACCGACAGAGCGGATCCGATAACATTCCAATGATGTATGCGGACAGAAGGAACACTGAGACTCAAAGTATGTATGCTATAGATTCATCTGGAATTTAGTATTGCAACATTAATTGTTGGTATAATAAGCGATTATTTGGGAAGATAGGGTGCCTGGGCTTCCTTTACTGCGGCGAACAGAATCCCGCATATGGGCAGGATAGTAGGAGTGGCATCCTCAACATGCTGCAAGTAAGCTAAGCTTCGTGATCGCAGCGCTTGCACCTCTGTCTAATTTCCCTAGCCTTGGAATAGGCATAATGGCACTGCCCTTGTATAGAGCGTGGTTGTAGTCTCTAGCTTCGCCGGTACATCCTAGCCGACGCCGCATGTCGGATCCGCTGTACTTCACATGTGGCGGGGAACACCAATCAAGTGCTAAAATCAGAGGTCCAGCACTCAGAGAGAATGTCTCCATATCGCGGCATTAGTGACTGCAAAACTCTTTCGGCCGCCTCGGATCCGCCAACGGTCACGCCTAGTGAGCTGAGACCTTTCAGCACAATATCAACCTGACATTGCCAATCCTCGTCCACTATCTCTCCAGTATAGAGCGGCGATTGCTGAAAGTGCATCAAGGTCTCAATGGACTTTTGGTAGACCGTTGCCGTTAAGCTCGGGGTAATGTGATAGGCGATGAGAGGGACTTCGGCATCAAGACCGTTTTCAATGTTGAAGGCGGAGTCGGGCGCTAGCGAGAGCACGCATTCTACTGTTTTCGTGACTGATGACACCGCTTCAGCTTGATAAATGCGCATGCTTGTGATGATAGTGTCGTCAACAGAATCGCTCTCCCTGTCGAGAGCCAACGCCTCGGCTAAGATGAGGGTACTCAGGTCCCAAAATAATACGAGCGAGACTGTTCAATAGTCAGCAAATGAGAAGAGCAAGTGCTTTAAGTTCCTACCGGAAGCTGTCCTAGAGGGTAAGGAAAGACGTTCCAGGTTGTTGATGCAGTAGTTAATGAACGGGCGGAACTGGTGGTTGAACTTGCTCACGGCTGCCACTGTTGAGGCAACATCCTCCATGCAAAACAAAGACGCATCGCAGTGTAGTAGGTTTTTGACCTCGATTATCTGTCTGCAGATGTAAAACGCCTCAGCAACTGCCTTTTGACAAATGCTTGCGATGCTGTCGTCCAGACCGGGCGGGAAACAGTGGTCATTGGTCCAATCGAATGTGGACAAGACCGAGCCAGTACTGAAAAGCACTATTCAAGTCAGATTCTGTAGCTGAGGCTAAATCCCATGGCAGATGAGCTTACCTTTACTGTGACCCGGAATAGGCAGTCTGCATGGACGATTCGTGGTGAGTGATGCCCCAAGGTCACGAATGTATCCACCCCAATGCACGGCATTGAGACTGGCTTCCAGCAGACCACTGTATATGGAGTGTGCTCCAAGAGTATGACAGTGTTGCCTGATAAGCTCATTCAGCGAACAAAGGCTTTGCAGGCCGCTGTCAAGGAATTTGCGGGCTGACTCGACTGGAGCTTTAGCCGGTATGGTGATTCCACAAAAGAGCAGGATAGCATAGACGACCCTGAACGATCGGACAGACTGTGCTTGTGAGATAATCTCCCGTGCCTGAAACCAAGAATCGTAGAATGCGTTCTTGGATGCCTCGCTCGTGGGTATCCCGTGAATACTGTCCTGCGAGATACTATCAGCTGCTGATGTACTCTCGCTAGGTAGCCACTGAAGGGAGAATGTGCGAAGCACTGATTTTAGCGCGGCATCAGACTGTCTACGCGCGGTTGCACTGAGTCGATTGCCGTAGAGACCAGCGAAATGATCAAGGAAACGGACGGCCCCGATGACAGTGAACGTGCAGGAGACATCATTTGATGGCATCTCCGAATCCGGGAAGGAGATGGCATTTAGCTGTGCAACCGAAGCAGGGGTATTAGTAAACGGTGTGTTTGTAGAATTATCCAAGGTAGCAGGCGTATGCCTTTGCGACGACCCTTCACTCCAACTTTGCAATCGATAGTGTGACGTCGTTGCATACAGATTGCAGTCGTAGTCTACAAACCGAGAAGCACATCCCGTGATGATGGCATGGTAGATTCTTGCCAGCCGATCATCTAAGATAGTTGCATCCACCTTGGAATTCAGCAAACGAACAGGACTCGTCAGTGAACTACCGGCAAGAAACGGCATCGCGTAGGGCACTCTGTCCGACAAATTGCTGCGGACGGACATTTGTGCCTCGCTTGATGTAACATTCGACGTCAGTCGTTTCGCCAGATCAATGTCCAGGATATCGTCATGATTCTCCTGTGCAGTATGGCCTTCGCCGAGGTTGAGCCACGGGGCCAGCGTATCCCCCGGGGGCGTGGAGCCGGCTTGATAGTAACCATCAGGACTGCCAAAGCCTAGAAGTGGGATCTCTGGTAGCTCATTGCCATTTGTCAACGGGGAAGACCGCACTAGGTTTTGCTTGGGCTTTGCTTACCGGGATCTGGCAAAGTCAAAGGTGCATGAATGGCCCAGTCGTTGGCAATGAGTACACTTCCCTCCTTGGGGAGAGGCGAAAAAGCAGCGTCGCTTGGAGCGACGGCATGGATCGCAACTAGAGAATTGGCGGCGCTGTGACATGCTATCACATATTCCTAGATGTAGATGCGCAGCGAAGCGATTTCATCTTGATGATGCTAGATCATGGATACGTTGTCCGCTCAAGTGTGATTGTAGATGAAGACTGGCGGAAGGGCAGATTAGTAACGCAGGCCCTCCACAAGTTTATCTTCAATGATGGTATTTTATATGCTACTAGCTGCATGCCTAGTTTAAACTTCATCTACGATGCTTTCTGATTTACTACAGGATAGCAGATCGGATAGTCTAGAATTACATGATTTTACTATAGAGATATTATTTTTCAGTGTATAACGCTGCATGAAGAGGATACAGAAACCGTGAGATAACACAAGCACCGTTGCTTCTAAGGCTGTACAACCTGGATGTTGTTCTTCTTCTGAAAAACGAACAGAATAGTTAGCAATCCATCTAGCATCCCACATACGAGGACCACCAGAGACTAATCTGCCTACCTTCCAGTTATCCAGATCCGTCTGCTTCGACTTGTATTGCTTCAATAGCTCCTCCAAGACCTGCTTCAATCCATCCGAGTTTGTCTTGAGAGACGGGAGAACGTCCTCAACTGTCCGTTCTACCAGAACACCGTTCACCATCCGAAAGCATTTCCGGTCCTTAGGAAGGGGGTCGAGGGTTTCGATAACAAGCCTAGCGTTGAGTGTGCGTTAGTTGCTGTTCCTAAATAAGCGCAAAAAGGCACGTTCTTATGCAAAACTTGAAAGCAATAAAACTTCCAATAGGGCAGCTTACTTATGCTCCTCTGCTTCTTGCTCGATGTCACCGATCTTCTGCGCCAATTGTTGTAGCGTGTTTTTGTAGTTGGAGTACTGGAGCTGGAGCTCTGCTTCGAATCAGTTTGGCTTCTTTAAAATGGCGACAGCAAATCGGAAAGAAACTAAAGACATACCCTGTTGCCTCTTGGGGTTGACTTGTGCTTGGCTGGCCATGATGTCGAATTCTGTTTGAAAGCGCAGTTGCAAAGCCGGAGTTGCGATGCGGGGAGTTTCGATATGGATCGGCGGTGGTTGCGGCGTCGCTCTGTTGCAGCTCCGTCTGCGTCGCTAGACGAACAAACAACTACCAATGCAGAAACAAGGAATAAGCAGTACAATTGACAATAACTAATCACCAGAGCTCTCTTTCTATAATTAACATTTTCCGCACCACCTGTCTGTTCTTGCGAGGGGATGTTACACGTGACGAAGCGGGCGGCGATGTTTGCAGTGTTTGCCGCAACTCCGATAGAAACGATGGAATCCGCAATTCGCGGCGATTGCATCTTCTCCAACTATCGGCGGGAGGGCTCGAGCAAACAGCCGTGGCCCCCTGCGAAGCATTAACATATCAATTTCTCTAGTAAGCGATCGTATTGTTCGATCATAAATCACACACCATCATGGCTTCCAACGATCAGCCTCCAGCCAAAAGGCTGAAGAGCTCCAATCTCCCGCCACAGCTGCGCGACGCAAAGCGCAAGGATATCGACAACTGGGAAACGAACCGAATGCTCACATCTGGTGTCGCCCAGAGACGCGATTTCGATGGCGACTTCATGCCCGAAGATGAAGAAGGCACCCGTGTTCATTTGCTGGTCCATGACCTCCGTCCGCCTTTCCTCGATGGCCGCACGATCTTCACCAAGCAGCTCGAGCCCATCTCAGCTGTCCGAGACCCGCAGAGTGATATGGCAGTTTTCAGTCGGAAAGGAAGCAAAGTGGTTCGCGAACGACGTCAGCAGCGGGAACGCCAGAAGCAAGCGCAGGAGGCGACAACGATGGCAGGAACGGCGCTGGGAAACCTCATGGGTGTAAAGGAGGATGAGGGTGACAGTGCGGTCGCTATGCCCGTGGAGGATGCCTATAAGAGCGGAAACAAGTTTGCCCAGCATCTGAAAAAGGATGAAGGTGGACAAAGTTCGTTCAGCAAGAGCAAGACGCTCCGGGAGCAGAGGGAATTCCTGCCGGCGTTTGCGGTCCGAGAGGATTTGTTGCGCGTCATTCGAGATAACCAGGTTGTGGTTGTGGTTGGTGAGACGGGGTCTGGAAAAACAACACAGCTGACGCAGTTCCTGCACGAGGACGGTTATTCGAAGTTTGGCATGATCGGGTGCACACAACCTCGTCGAGTGGCAGCTATGAGTGTTGCCAAGCGTGTCAGTGAGGAAATGGAGGTTGATCTTGGTGATGAAGTTGGCTATGCTATTCGTTTCGAAGATTGCACAGGCCCGAAGACGGTCATCAAGTACATGACTGATGGTGTTCTTCTACGAGAGTCACTTGTCCAGCAGGACCTTGACAAGTATTCTTGTATCATCATGGATGAAGCGCATGAGAGAGCGCTGAACACAGACGTGCTCATGGGTCTTCTCAAGAAGGTCCTAGCTCGACGCAGGGACTTGAAGCTTATCGTCACATCGGCCACCATGAACGCAGAGCGCTTCTCCAGATTCTACGGTGGCGCACCGGAGTTTATCATCCCCGGAAGAACGTTTCCTGTCGATGTTCACTTCTCGCGCACACCATGCGAGGACTATGTTGACAGCGCGGTCAAGCAGGTCTTGGCCATCCACGTGTCGCAAGGTCCCGGTGATATTCTTGTGTTTATGACAGGTCAAGAAGATATTGAAGCGACATGCGAGCTGGTTGATGAGCGGTTAAAGCTGCTGAACGACCCGCCAAAATTGAGCATTCTTCCCATTTACAGTCAGATGCCTGCCGAGCAACAGGCCAAAATTTTCGAACGGGCTGAGCCTGGCGTGCGCAAAGTGATTGTTGCCACCAATATTGCTGAAACCAGTCTGACAGTTGACGGTATCATGTTCGTCGTGGATTCGGGGTACTCCAAACTTAAGGTGTACAACCCCAAGATGGGCATGGACACTCTGCAGATCACGCCAATATCACAGGCCAATGCCAACCAGCGTTCTGGCCGAGCAGGACGTACGGGACCGGGCAAGGCATATCGTCTGTATACCGAAGTGGCGTATAAGAACGAGCTATACCTGCAAACGATTCCGGAAATCCAGCGGACCAGTCTTTCCAACACCGTCCTTCTCCTCAAATCCCTTGGCGTCAAAGACCTCCTTGACTTTGATTTTATGGACCCCCCACCCCAGGAGACAATCACCACATCCCTCTTCGAGCTTTGGTCACTCGGAGCACTCGACAATCTCGGCGACCTCACACCACTAGGACGTCGAATGACACCATTCCCAATGGACCCCCCGCTCGCGAAGCTCATCATCACGGCCGCAGAAACCTACGGCTGCAGCGAGGAAATGCTAACCATCGTATCTATGCTATCCGTCCCCAGCGTCTTCTACCGTCCCAGAGAGCGACAAGAAGAATCCGACGCCGCGCGCGAGAAATTCTTCGTCCCAGAATCCGACCACCTCACTTTACTCCACGTGTACACGCAATGGAAAGCAAACGGCTACTCCGACGGCTGGTGCACACGCCACTTCCTCCACGCCAAGGCACTGCGGCGGGCGCGCGAAGTCCGCGACCAGCTGCACGACATCATGACGGTGCAGAAGATGCCCTTGGTCAGTTGCGGCACTGACTGGGACGAGATCCGCAAATGCATCTGCTCGGGTTTCTACCACCAAGCCGCGCGCGTCAAGGGTATCGGCGAGTTCCTCAACCTCCGAACCAGCGTCAGCATGCAACTCCACCCGACCAGTGCTCTCTACGGTCTGGGATATGTCCCGGAGTACGTGGTCTACCACGAATTGATCCTCACCAGCAAGGAGTACATGTCTACCGTGACTGCTGTAGATCCACATGTAAGGTCCCCACCCTATCCCATATACAATAAATACTAACGACATCCGGTAATAGTGGCTCGCCGAACTCGGAGGTGTCTTCTACTCCGTCAAAGAAAAGGGATATTCTCAGCGCGAGCGCCGCATCACCGAACAAGAGTTCAACCGGCGCGTGGAGATCGAGACTCAGATGGCGGCGGACCGCGAACGCGCCGCAGCCGAGAAGCAGCGCGAGGCGGAGAGGAACGATCCATCCAGACGCAGAAAGGAGATTGAAGTGGGGTCTGTTGTGCGGAGGCCTGTCGCGACAGCAAGACGTGTAGGGGGTGTGACGGCCTCGAGTAGTGGTGGTGGTGCGCGCAACGGTGGAAGTGGAGGCGGAAGCGTGGTTAAGAAGCCGCAGATTAAGCGGAAACCAGGACGGGCCTTTTGATTATACTAGAATATCGAATATACTATACCCAGGGATATATTGAATAGATTACGAGTTGATACTATCTATGTGAAGCTGAGGATAAACAGTAGATCCATACATTGATACACAGGTATAAATAGTAGCTAGCTAACATAACGCAATAACAGATACTCGACTTGTTTTACCTTCACCCAACTCAGATTAGAAACAGAGCAGACCAGGCTACTCCACCAGGGAAACAGCCTGAACCCTATCCTATCCTCTCCTCTCCTGTCACTTTATATCCACCTTTCCATCCATTCTACCAAATCTCATCCATATCCACAATGTCCCACAGACCCGACGACCTCTAGTTAATGAAGTTAATACAGAAGAAATGCAGAATCAGACTCCCAAAGACATAATCCGCGAATGCCCTACACAAAACAGTTAGCAATCCAGTCTCACCCCAAAGAAACCACCCAAGTAAAGTAAATAAACTAACCTCTCAGGCGAAACACCACTCCCCTCCTCCCCAGCACCAGCCGCAGCACCCTTCTTCCCCGCCTTCCCCTTCCCACCACTCACACCCCCAGTCGACGAAGTCGAACCACCACTAGTCTGCATCCTCAAACTAGCCGTAAGAACAAACTGACCAACGGCAGCACAGAAACCACTCAGGAAGGCATTGAACGGCTGTCACAAAGATTCCAATATTAGCCAAACTCTCACACTCCAATTTCTCTGAACCCAAACTCATCCATATCCAATGGGGAAAAGTATACTCACATAATTCCCCCCAACGACACAATAAACAAACTGCACACCACCGACAAGCACCAAGAATCCCATGAACGCATCTAGCAGCATTGTGCGCTGCGGCGTGGTCGCCAGGTACTGCTGCCAGACTGTGTGGGCGATGTCGTAGATGGAGGAGTTCTGGGTGAGGGTTTTGGGGCCGGAGGAGAGAGAGGAAGCTGCCGGTGCGGAGGATGCGGAGGGCATGGTGGGTGGTGAGGGCGCGGGGACGGGGCCTGCTGTTGCTGGTGCTGCTGCTGCTGCGGAGCGTTTCGGGGCCATTTTAGTGTCTTCTTTGTTTTTCTCTTTCTCTGGGAGAATGGGAATTGAGGTCGGGGTTGTTGGATTGAAGGTGAGAAAGAGGATGAGGGAAGGGGAGAGGTGGAGGTATAGTTACGCAAGCTGGCCTGTCGGGTGGTGGTTACGCGGTGTCACGTGATTTATAGATCGGGATTGTTATTACTGTTTTGTTGGGGGATTGTTTGGTTTGATTGTTGATCTGTGGGGAGAGATATGATGAATGGTTTTTGTTTAGGGATTTAATAGGAGTGGTTTTGTTCATTTCATTGTTGCTATACTCGCTACTTGGGTGGTGATACAGGTAAAGTACTGCCTCGGCTGCGTTACAACAAGGCACATAGTACATACATAACTCATTCATTAGCTTTTAGCTCATACCTAGCTAACTTTCTCATTATCGTGAATGGAGAGGTTTTGGTGGTCGTATAGAGAGGAGACATTCAGTACAGAGGCATCCCTATGATGCCGATAATAGCCACCAGGGCCATCAAAGTATCAACACATCACCTGGTATCATCAAGCAAGCCAATCCAGGGCATTGCCAAAAGGATTCTGCGTATTGGACGCTTGCAGGTCCATCTGGAAATCAGTCATAACCTGATCCCACTCTTCCCAGTTGAGATTCGCATTAGGCATCTCCTGCTGGGTCTCGCTTGGCTCCGTCGGTCTCACTAGCGTGTCCATCGACGCGCCCGAGCACTCCTGCTGCTGTATGCTGGCTGCCGTGGCAGGATTGAGCCAGTCCGTGTCGGGGAATAATTCGTTGATCACGTTAACTGGTCCGCCGCGCAGGTCGATATCGATTCCGCCGTTCTCAGGCAGACCGCGCAAAGACTCCTTCTCCTGGCCTGTTGGTGAAGCCTGAAAGTCCAGTGCTCGGGGCAGAACCGGGGGCTGTATAATTGAGAGTCCAGGGCAGTTCGGGATTGCGGCATCGTGAGCTGCAATCATGCTGGAACTCATCTGCGCGCGCATCTCCTCTTGCTTAGCTCTGAACGCGGCTGCTCGCTTCATCAGGCGGGAAAGTGGACGCCAGAGCATGCCTTTCCGCTGTTTGCTGTTTTTGATCCACTCTGTATACAGGGTGCTCACACATTTCCATGCTCGGTCGGTAAGAGGGCTGAGTGGGCGGACACAAAGCTCCGACAGCACAAAGGCAATGGCATGCCATTGCATGTTCGTGGCAAAGAGCCAGCTCCATTTGTACGTTTTGACGTCGCCATCCAGCAGCCGCTGGAACTCGGCTACCTCCACTGATGTAGCAAATAAGCTCTCACGATTGGCGTGGCTCAGCGTTAGGCCCCGTTCAGGCCTGGTCATCGGATGATGAATGACGAGCCACAGCTTGGTCAGGATGAGGCGACCAATCGTCGCGCAAACCCACTGAATCGGGACATTCATGTCGCAATGTTTGATATATCGGTCTTCAATACGGTCGTTGATCGCCCGGATCATCTTGGAGCAGTTATCAGGGTTGAGCTGCCGAGTTGCCGGAACGAAATGGCCGTTTGGACAAGTGTAGCTCACTCGACGCACAGCGACCGTGATATCGCAGCGAATCAGGCAAAATGTCATTTCCGTCCAGCCCACTCTCTCCTTGGGAGGCTCTTTCATGTCTGGTGTAATGTCGTCGTCATTGATATTCAGTGGGAGTCGAGTATCGTACAATCGTTCATGAATCTGCGCATCAGAACCGTGATCCTCTGCGGCCCGGATGTCCAATAAGCAGATGTGCCACCATAGTCGTCGGCGTATCTCCGTTTCATAAGGCTTCAGGCCAAAGTTGGTGCCGTCCCGATGAAGACCCAGTCCTTGCGCAAGGCGAAGAACAAGCGCTGTCATAGACCAGACAAATTTGGTGTCGTCTTCGCGACGAACGCCTATCAGGAAAATCACCACAGCCTGTAGGAGAGTGATGTTTTGCGTGTTCAAAAGATCTGCTTTGGAAAGTGCCTGCTCGACTGCGAACCGGTATCGCTTGACAAGCACATCCCTCTCTTCTCCCAGGTGAGATGAGCACTGGCTCGGCGACATGCTGATGATCGCGACCATGCACATTGCAAGAAATAGCGCCTCAAAGTTCTTATCCAAGCAATTTGGATCTTGGGCAGCCGTAGTAAATAGCTGCCTGGCGCTCGCTTTATGCACGATAGGTATCAAGGGCGCCACGTTTTCCAACCAGGTATTCCATAACAAGGGAATCTGGGGCCTCGGCGGAAGAAAATCGTGTAGTGAGTGGGAAACGGAATAGAACCCGAATAAAAAGCCATCATGGTTGGCCGACTGGCTGGACGATGTCTCGGGAGACGAATAGTCTTCCTCGTCCGAAGACGACGGATCTAGGATATCTTGCAACTCCTCAATCTATTGACATTAGCATCGTTACAGATATAAGAGAAGGACAGGGAGTAGTATTCACCTCATCTCCGAGACTTGCCCAGAATCGGTTGCTAACGTAACGGCTTCGACCCTCGTCGATAACCAATCGACCAAACTCATGCTCGATATTCCGAGGCGCTATAGGTCTGGTAGGATCCAGCTTGGCTGCATCCATAAGAAGTGGGCAGCCATCTCCGTCGCCTTCAGGCGCCGAGGCCTGCGCATTAGCCGGGGGTGCGGGTGGATTTTGTGGGTGCTGTTGTACACGTGGGGAAGAAGTATCAGAAGAAGATGCCGCAGCACCAGTCGCTTTCTTTTCACTAAGATGTTCAATGACGCCCTCGAGGCGCCTTAAGCGAGACAGGAGCTCCGCATCTTGCGGGCGTTTCACTTTGCGCGGTGCCCTTCCCGGCGGGGGAAAGATACACTGGATGCCGGCCTTGACGCAGTTGGAGCAAGGGGTTTTCTTGTTGCAGCGAACTTTTCTCCGACGGCAGGTGACGCAGCTGCGCAAGCTGTGGTCTTGTGCGGAATGGGAGGGGATGCCGTGGGCGTCGTGGCTGGTATGCGGGCCAGGCACAACGTCAGACCCGTTCCTGGGCGAGAGGGACGATGGGGCTGAAGGTGAGATCACAGACGAAGTGGACATGGCGTGGAACTGTTGCTGATAATGACAGGATCCCCACCAAGCCGCATCCTCACGCAGGGAGAATGTGTAGTAGTAGAGGAGTGATGGACATGGAACAGAACACAGGAACAGCGGTAGAAAAAAGCAGAGTGAGAAATAAAGGATTTGACTTCAACAATAATGGTTAGATAAATTATCAACTTGTCGCGCCTGACTTGGATCTTCGGTCATCGACTCATACTTGAGTGGAACCCCGGGATGGATGGTCTCTCGCTATTGGCTCTACCTTGATGGTTCTGGACCCGCCGCTTTGGTTTGGTGCTATGTGATTGGTCACGTCTAGCCCTGCTTTACTAATCCCATCTGACAATCACGTGGATGGGGAGGTGCAGGGCAAAAATCAAAGATAAAGAATAAGCTTGAGACGGCGCGATTTTCGGACTTTGTTGGCTGCGGGATTCGGGGCGATCATGCAGTGTCAGTGTAGAGACAAGACGTCACTAGCGAGATGCCGCCATTCTAGATGGTCATGGCTGCTGCTTGTCACCACCGAATTATTCCTACACACTGCTCCGTAGTAGTTATCTGATCAACATCGGAGTTAACCGCCAAAGTCCGCGGGCCAAGTCAACACGCTTCTATTTCCGGACGCCCTCAAGCTTTGTCCGACTGTATCTCAAAACTGCACTGGTCTCCTTAATGGTCCGCGGAAGGTCCGCGGACGAGAATTTGATCCGTTGTTACTTGGTATTGATCTGCTGTATGATTCTACAAAAGGCGCAGTCAGCCCCTCTCGGTATGAGTGCATTCAACAACTTCTCACGACAGATGTTCCTGTCTGTTCGTCTGTTATTTGACAATGGAGATCGTTGTGGTAGTGTCCAAGCTTAGTATGGGGTGGCTGCTGAAAATAGTGTAGAGCCAAGACGAAACCAGCAAGGATGTCCATCGAGTACTAACTTCTATTTTGATCGCAGACACCCAATTAGTTGTAATTGAGACCCACCCTCACTATATACATTCGCACCATAAAGTAATACTAATAAGTAGTAAGTCGTATGTTATATAATATATTTACAGAAGCCACTCAATGGGCTTTGATGCGCAGGAGCCCAAATAAATATGGGCGACCACGTTTTCACATGATGTTCCATGTCCGATGTCCCCGAGTAAACAAACAAGATCCAAAGTATATATAGAAACATTCCCCAACGCCATATATGGCCAACATGCGGAATTGGTAGCGCACCGAAGGCAAACGCCGTATATGCAAAGAAAGTAGAAAGTCGAAAGTCTAGGTGCTGGGCCAGTTCATATCGTAACCGTCATACACAAGCTCCGATGTGATACAAGCGCATCAAAGGAGCTCGGTCGATATCGTACAGTCGCTCGATCAACCCCTGAACAGGCGCCCGAGGGGCGTGGTCCGAACGGGAATGTCGACCTCCCGTCGTCCAAAGTACCTCTTCCGGCTAAACCAGAACGTGTAAGCATGAATCACGAACGGCCCGGGCGCATCAGACCTACCTCATCTTATCCCATACTTGGGTTTGCTGGTTGAAATGGTATCTGTGCCACGCATTAGCGAGAGGGAAGGAAATGGAGTTGAATAGAAGCATACCCTTGGAACACGGAAGCAGTCATCGACTTCGAACCGTATTCTTTCTTCAGCAGGCGAACGTATTCGAACGGGATCTTGACTGGCACATCTTCGAAGTAACTGTTTCGCAGTGGGAAAATCTCGGTTTCCTAACTTCAAGTCAGCCACTTTCTTGTGTCACCGGTTCACGCGCCACCCACATCAAACCGATGGCCATCCTTGCACATCAAAGCACCAGGCTCACGGTCTTTCTCCCTCCGCTCGTCGTCCTTGCGTACCGCAGTGATATCGATGAATAGCCCAGACGATGTGTCTATCCACCGCGCATCGATCACATTCAGCTTGTCATCGGTCGATCTGACGACATAGTTCGGGTTGATCTCCAGTAAATAGGTTCGGCCGCCGTCGACTCCTGAGATTTCAAAGTGGTGCTCGGTCATGTTGTAGTAATCGGCAAGGAAATGGATGGTCGGCTCAGAAATTTGAACGTCGAGATCGTTGTCCCATGGGAAGATCTGTCCATCCATTAGCGGGCGGCGCATCGTAAACACCCATGGTTTTGTGTCACAACCTTCTGGTTCCACCACCAAGCCAGCAGAGTTCCATGCATTATCCAGGTTTCAGCCCCAAGGTCTGCCATTGTCGAAAGATAGGTCCGGATGAGTTCCGACAGGTGCGGAACAGTCTCCTCCTCGGAAAGAGGCTCATCTGCGAAGCTAACAAGGGGATCAGCGATCGTAAGATTCAAGCGTGGTGGACCAGACGTACCGTCCATCATAGTGGTAGTGGAAGCTAGTTTCGATTAGAGTTAGTCAAAGCCAACAGAAAGACATCGCCCAAGTAGATCCTATAGCATACCTCGATTCCTCTGTAACTTGTTAGACAAAGCCGATAGCAACCGCAGGATCATGTCAGACTTACTGAAGTATTTCTCTCCCGGTTCTCCCCCTTTTCCGGAGTAATCCTTGACCATGTCAGGTCGGACACTCATGAAATCGACATCGGCGCTAGCTGATCCAACGGCACATAATAACCCACAGAGGCCGAGAAGCAAACGGGGTGTCGAAGACCACATAGTGGCGGAAAACGATAGACGATATTTGTTCTTTCAGTGTTGAGAGACCGGAAAGTGCATGCTCTTATCCGAGGTTGCACGATGCTGTAGATAAGACGGGGAATGTCCGTGCTGCTAATAAAACCGGAATGGGGCGGAGTTTGTTGAAGGGCCGAAAGGCCAAAGGGGGAGGAGGTGAAGACAAGTTGGAGGAACCACTCAGTTCGAGAAGGAAGGAAAAATGTATGTGTGTGTTAGAATAGGAACAGAGGCGGAAGGGAGAAGAAGAAGAAATGGAAGAAGAATGATGAACAAGAAGCAAGAGTATAATTAATCAAGAGAAAGCGACGTAATCAGTGCGGCGCATAAGAGGGAGCAATCACAACAGTCAATAATAATGAAGACTTGACTACGAATGGGGGGGGCGCCTAGAAAAAAAAACCACGAATCGCCAGGGCGATCGGCAGGGAAGAGACGTATAAAAAGAACCGCCGCCAAACCGGCGTGCCACTGTTACGGGGGAGGGCCCGGTCGCGTGCTCAGTTACCGTCCAGCCAAAAGAGTGGCAAGGAGCTGGCCTACAGAGTACGCTGGACAACACTTGGAACAGCCTTGCCAGCCTTGGCGATGGGCTTACTGGGCTTACCGTGCCGATCCGACTGGAAAGCCTGGAAGAATCTGCCACGCTTTGTGTTGTCTGACTCGTTGGTGTCAGCGATTTCGTCGGTTTCCTTGGGTGTCCGACCTACGGATGTGCCCTGGTCGGTTCACACGAAGAAAAATCGTCATGGAAAGACCGTTTTTGGGACAACATCAATACAACCACCAATACACCGATACATCTCGGTCTTGATATCTCCGACTAGACTAGGTAGATAGTCAACTGTTACCAACCACCGACACTAGTACCTTGCGTGCGTAGTCTCAGGCCAATAGTATGACGAATCTCACACGGCCTGTTCCGAATGACTTGGTCCGATGGCGTTTACCTTTGTCCTGGGTTCGCAGTTTTTAATGTTAAGATGCGTACAAAGTGGCCCTAAACACTGGGGCCGCGTCATAGCCTGATGTAGCGGCATTTCTCTCCCCCTCTCCGCCAGGGCCCAATGCCTTCCTTCAATTACCCGCTCACCGTCCATTTGGTCTCTACCAGATGACAGTTGGCCCTCCTGCTGCTGTCATCACATTTAGCACGGATGACGAGAATGGGTTTCAATCACTGTTCCGGTCAAGCTTTTTTTTCCCCCTAAACCCCATCACCAATGTGACGGCGTGACGGCGTGACGGTTTTGCGTTGCACGCAGCAACTGTAAGGGTAGGGAGGAGTCTTGCAGTGATAAAAGTGGGGGACCTCCGCTGCATCGAACAGAACGTTGGCTTTAGAATTTACGGCGATCGTCGCTCATCATGCTACTCTTGCTCTTCGCGGTTCCTGCCAGTCTTTACCTTTATCGTGCCCTTTCACATAAATAGAAGCCACAGCCATATGCTTGCCGTCTCGGGGCGCTGACCAAGGACCACATTGTCTCAGCATCGACCAAAGGAATTTACGTTAGTAAGATAAGCAAGCAAATATGAATGAACCGATTGAGATCTCTAACAGGATCCCCTATTCACAACAATGTGGAATCGCGTCTCTTTCGTCGTCAGCAAACTATAAGCACATTCTCTGTTTTAGATGCGAGTCATGTACACGAGAACAAAAAATAGGATGCATAACTAGTAACATCTAAGTACTTACCGAACATGCCTTGTCAGCGCGCAAAAAGGTAGTATCGCATCCTCGGGGCGGCGGGTCTAAGCTGCCGAGAAATGTCGCTCAACCTTAGGATTCATAACACGCAGTTGATCTAGAGGATGTTGCCTGTACACTCCTGTAGAGACTAAACCTAAAAATATTTCCGACTTACTATCACTGTGATCGTCCGATTAATGACCGGCCTGCACGCAGTGCCAGCCTTAAAGATGAAGCCATACAAAAGGGTTGAAGAGTCGCAAGCACTGAGCTACTAGTAATAGCTCACTCAGCCCGATTTAGGAAAGCTACGTATAGTGGTGAATAGTTTTATTGGATTGCTTTGTGTCCCAGGTATCCTCTTATTGCCTTGGACATTCGATAATCGAATGCACTGCTCTCCTGCCGGCAAGCTGTCGAGTCACAACTACAAACTTGTTAGGTGGTAGGGGAGGATAACGCCGGCGAAACAAGACTGTGAGATATATCAGAGGATATTGACCGTGACTTGCATACGCCAATTGGCTTAAGGTCTACCCAAAGTTAGCAGGAGACAAGCAGCTATAGGAAGCCGAAGCATGATAAACACGAGCCTCCACAAAAAAAATCAATGATATTCACGGGCCCTTATAGATTACCACATCGGGCCCAGTGGTGCCTTGCGGCGCTCGATGCCGCCGAATGTGACTGCCTGATTGGTCGGGATGTGGAGGAAGTGTGCCGGCGCATCGGGGAAATCGGTTCCGATGATTCGTCAGGTTTGGGATGTCCTCCTCTTCTATCTTTGACTTTGGGGTTATCGCTGCTAATTTGGGGAGGCCAGTAGTACTAATCAAGTATCGTCTACGGGGTGCACCAAGAACTAGGTAGGCTCTCTCGTGTCTTTTCCCTTACAAAGTACACCAAGACTTTTCTCTTACCACTTGAGAGTTTTGTTCTGATGGAGACATTCATGAGCTGGTATATGGCGTCTTGAACCCGTTCAACGGCATAGGACTTCACACCCCGTATCCAGCAACACACTGAACATTAAATTGTAATCAGGGACATAGGACTGTAGCCCTCATGGGGTAAGCATTCATTTGGCACTAATTGGTCTTTGGATCTTCCCGCCAGCTGTGTACCCAAGATGGCAGACTAACTGTACCATAGTTCTAACTTGATCTAATCTCTCCACTTTGGCCTTCCGCTCACCAAAGAGAACAGGGGACTAAATTGCACTAGCCTTAGGCTTCTTTCCTACAGGCCAAACCCCTCTTAGCAATGGCACCATCCTGGCCCTTAGAAGCGCAGACAAAGGCTAAAGAGCCTTTCCCCTTTGTGGCTGGACTCTCACATGACTGAGGCTTGTATGCGTCCCACTGCTTCAGCTGGATTCTGCTGCTGCACCAACTCCGACTACTTGCGGCACCGGGTACATGGCGAGTTCTGCAGTTTCCCCTGCCGGCGGGCGTCCAATTGGATGTCTTCATCCCAGATTCTACCTTGGATAGATCTATCGATTTTGTTTCCATCCTCTCGATATCGTCCACGTTATCACTTCTGAAGTCCTCTCAAACCTGGTTTGTCAGATAGGAATGACGATGTTAATCTCCGTCTTTCACATCCACTTTTGATTACATGCCGCTTCTGGAGACGAGTCTTGAGGACCAGCAATATCGCCTAGTCAGCCCCAACACGCGCTGTGCACACTTAATCTGGATCTAGTTTATCATCCGACCCTTGCATCTATCGTCGATCACCAGTGGTCCGGATACTACGCCTTGTAGCAAGGTGTGGGGGCCAAAAATGTCGAAAATACCCACAATCCCCCCAGGCGACTCAAATGCCATACCCCAGGCAGCGACCGCGCAACAATTGAACCGATCGTGCGAGTCGTGTCGAGGACTGAAAGTCCGTTGCTTACCCGATCCTTCGACACCCAACCAATGCCAACGATGTGTGAAAGCCAACAGACCGTGTGTCTTCGTGGCGCCCCAAAGGCGGCGACCACGCAAGCGGACTGACTCGCGGGTCGCTCAGCTAGAGAGAGAGATGCGACAGATGCGCTCTCTACTCAAGGACAGGTTACGCGTGGATGAAAGCAGTGCCGAAAGCGTCGGCAGCGAAAGAGAGGACTCACGGGAACCCGACCTAGGGCCGAGTATCAATGATTCGGTACCCACAGGCACAGATCCTCCAAGCAGCGCATCGGGGTCAGCTAGACCCATGGACTGTTCACCCAGCTTCTCCTCAACCCCTCCATATTCGAATACCTTCGACGGTGGTGCCGCTCCCGGCTTAGCTTCCAATCCTGTATCGTCGAGCTACTCGCTTGAAGCAACTCTAGAAAGAGATGTCGTCGGGCAAGGCTTGATATCACTGGAATATGCCAACGATTTAGTCGCCTTCTTTATCACTGAGCTCACGGCCTTTGCTCCAATCGTTGTACTACCTCCAGATACAACTGCTTACCAACTGCGTTGCTCGAAGCCAGTGCTGTTTCTCTCAGTCATTGCCGCAGCAGCAGTCTCGTTGGATGCCAACCTAGCCGCTGCTCTCAACCGTGAGATGATTCGAGTGTATGCCGAACGCTTCTTCATTAATGGGGACAAGTCCTTGGAATTAGTCCAGGCATTGCTGCTCATGATTGTCTTCTACTTCCCGCCCGACTCTCCTTTGAAACTGCAATTCTATCAGTATACTCATATAGCGGCCACGATGGCCCTGGAAATTGGGTTGGCTTCCAAACGACGAGTGCCCCAAAGCTCCAGTCGCAGGACGAATAGAAAGACAGCATATGACGAGCCAATGGCGGAACAAGCGAGAGCGATCTTGTTTTGCTATCATTTGACGTCCATGTAAGCTTCAATGCGGATGCTGTTGAGACTGACCTGCTAACGGAGGACAGTGTCGCTATGAAAACACGCCGGCCGAATTTGCTTCTCTTCAATGACTGGATGAGCGAGTGCGTGAAGCATTTAGAGCGCTCACCAAATGCAGTCGATAGACACATGGCCACTTGGTTTGAGCTTCAGCGAGTAGTCGATGAGGCGATGACATCCTTTGGGCTTGATGACACGAGTTCGACTGCCCCGCTCACCGAGTCGCGGCTGCAAGCCGTTTTGAGGTGGTTTGACAACCGCATGCAATCATGGAAGAAAGATCTATCCATGGAGATGCATACAGGTAAACTTCTCCTGAAGCGGTCAATGTGGGCACGTATAAAAGCTAATACCATACATCAGTTCCCATGAATTTCGAATACCATTACACTAACCTCGCGATCTATGAGCTTGCTGTCGGAGAAGGTTATCGCGATCCTGATGCGATCAAGCAACAATATTATACTCTCCCATCACTGGAGAACAGTGATAAGTCCAAAGGCACGCCACTGAGTGCGGTCCGTGTAGACTTCACGATCAAGTGGTTGAACGCCGCCCACGAGATGCTCGACTTCTTCCTAGGCTGCGACACGGAGATGCTGCGGAAGATCCCCAACCTCATCTACACCCGGGTCGGAGTAGCGATTCTGTCTCTGCTCAAAATCTACTTCTCCGTTAGATCTGGCGCCCTAGGGGAGTTTGTGACTGCCGAGTCCGTAAATGTCGAGAAATATCTGGACGCAATGACCCGGCGTCTAGCGGAGGCAAGCGGTGGTCAGAAGTACAAGATCCCCAGCCGATGGTATCTTGTTGTCGCCATCAAGGCTCGAAATTGGTATGATCGCTTTGAGCAGAAACAGATGCAGAGAAATGCTGGGCTTGTCCCTCAGTTGAGCGCTGGTACGCCAATCTCTCCGAGTCATGCCGCTTCTCAGAATCCGCTGCCATTTGACCCACAACAGCCAAGTGCGTCACTTGTAATGAAGGCGGAGTACTCTTCTATGGTCCCTTTCCAAGCGATGAATGTCAATTACGGCGTGCCACCAACGACGGAACAGATATGGCAACCCGACCAGAGCGGAGCTTATCAAAACATGGTTCACATGAATACTTTTGCCGGCTACCAGCCTGCAATGCTGCCTCCTCACTATGGATATGATGTACAGCAACAGCGAACCCCGCCAGAGAGCGGTCAGCAAGGAAACCCATCGCCGGCAAGAACGGGTATGGAGCTTGATGAGTGGATGCCGGATGGAAGTATTTTCGCGATGCCTAGCTTGCCTGGATTCTGAAAAAGCCGTCGCTGGAAAGCCCTCGAATCTAGATAGAGAAGATGGACCACCTGGAAGTGACCATCTGTTTGCATACATTAGCATAGACATGAAAAGCCCTCTCCCGATCAATTTCATCCGCCTGCCATAGGAGAGGCAGGCACGCCAGACGGCCAGTATTTGATGAGCACTGCAACAAGGAGTCTTAAGAAAAGAGAGAACTCGATGAGAGCACGCAGTAGAAAGAAGGAAAAGAAGTGTCCAAGATGGGGCTACGTGACTAAGAACATTGTCCCACAGTAAGCGTTATGCATGCTCGAGGTCTCTCGAGGTTACTCCGTCGGGGGCTCGGTAGACATGAAACCTCCGACATCCAGTTGGGGTTTATTTCCCCCAAGGCCCCAACACCAACATCCACAACTGTCCGGACTCTCCGAAAGGGGAATATGTGGAGACTTTCATGGCTCCCCAAGCTCGCTCTTGGAAGATGGTTTGCTGTTTCCGACCTAGTCACCATGTGGATGGTGGCCTTGTGCAGCTGCAAGTTCGACTGTTGGGAGATACCGCTGGCCATGTGGAGCTGCACACTGAGCAAGCGATTGACCCACGGATAAACAGACCATCAGAGGAGATCGCCTGATGATCGCGAGATTGTCATGAACATTGGGCATACTCGATATTTATGCGGGACTGCACAAGAGGAATTAATTGGCCTGGCTCCGTTCCAGTGTCTCTGGATATCGGCCGACAATTCGGAATCGGGCCGAATCTCTTTCGTCCCCTTGCCGATGGACAATCTCATTTGACCACCAGCCTTGCTGTTCTGGGCTCGAATTCCTGGGATCTTTTGGTATGTATATTGGGCTTACTCTGAACTATTTCCTGCTTCGATGCAAGTCTCATGACTTGATATAATCGTAGAACACACAGAAGGCTCTACCAGGCCACATGGCGCGCCATATCCCTACCAGGCTTTATAGGAAGCCTCTAGGTATACGTTGTTGGAAGAATGGAAGCTCTTACACCCGCGCATGATCCTAATGTTGTGTTCATTTTGAGAACACTGGATCTATCTGTTCAATATCCCATTTGCAAATACAGCTGCCATTGCTTGTCTAAGATGGGACTCGCTGGTTGCTATCCGACGCTATGAGAGTGGTGACATGAAGATATAAAAGGTTAAGAGGACCATATGCCTGCTTCAACAGCAGAGCACCAGACTGCTACTTGGTAGCCTTGAAATTATCCACAGGTAGTGGCGACTCAAGTTTCCGGGTAGCTTGACGCATCTTGGTAGAACCCCCTATCAAACTGGCTTGATTTGAGACGATGCGGCGGATGGGACAGCCGCGGTACAACTCGAGACGTGCTCGGTCTTGCATCAGCTGTCAAAAATCAAGCTTTGAGCCTTGACATAAACCGTAGTGCTTAAGAGCGTCTTCAGCTCCAATCAAGGTGACGCTGAAGAAAGTGGCTTGTGGTCATCCGACCATGCAAAAGGTAGCCTAGTGAAGTACTAATCGCCAGTGACCCCAGCCATGTATTGGGATTACGGGGAGGGGAAGCTATGTAAAGAAACTGCTATTATGGCATGAGCTGGCTGGCGATCGAGAAAAGACCCCAACAATGGTCCATGCACGACCGAAAACCGAAGACCTGTCGCTCTAAATCAATGGCATATTGACCTCTACATCTGGAGAGGCCATTGGGACGGGGGGAATGAACCAGAAAATCCGCGATCAACATGAGGGGATTGCCTCCGCAGGAAGGGGATGACCGCTTTCAGAGACAGGCCGAGAGGTGGTTGCCCACTTCCCTCCCCAGATGCGGCACCACGTCTCCCGGTCGCAGGCTGCTTTCCCAATCGGCCCCGATTACACCTGGGCTGACTGTCAACCAGCAGGAGAAAAAGGAGCCATCCTTTCAATCCTGTCCACTACCTACAGACTCAATCGACTTTTAGAATATTCTCCTATTTCCTTTCGATGATCAACTGAAATCCCATCTCCTCTTGCGCCGTCACTGCTCCGTCCCCGCCGTTCGCAAAAGTACCTTGACCCTTCCCTCCCACTTCCGTCACTACCCCAGCCCATTTATCGTCTTATATCTACCAGCTTCCTACCGGGGACCCCGACACGACTCAGCTTCCCTGTCAGGCACATGGGATAGAACAGTGTCCAGGGAGCAACTCAGTGCAAGATCAGCCATAATCACCCAAGTGCCTTTTCGCACGAATGGGTCATCTTTGGCCCCATTCATGTCGGAACTTGCACGGTGGTATTAAGGAAACCGAGAGAACGGCACGAGGCAACTGCATGCACTTGATTTGACACGTCAATGAAGAATGAGCTCAGTCTCCAGTCCGGCTGTTGACCATTCTGTCGACCACTCTGCCGATCAACCACATATCTCACAACCCTCCAATACTCCGACCCTCTCGGCTCCGGCTGCGGCCACGGAAAGCACCACTAGTCCCGACAATGCTGCCACACAAAAAGAGAACGTCAGACCGGATGGAGGGCAACCTGCATCTCAGCAGGCGTCAGGTTCGGGCCGGGTTATAGAGTCCACACTGGAGGAATTCGACGATTTTGGATTGCCGATCCGCGTGCGTCCTAAGAGGGAGTCTTCGGAGAGCGAGGAGGTATTTCACGAAGCCGGTGAATCACAAGGGAACGCAAATGATAGTGGTGATGTGAGCAAACGAGAAGGTCAAGCAACTTCTCTGGAGGATTCGAGTCCGGAAGATCCTGTGGAGGAGCCCCAGGGAGCGGCTGAGGAAGTGAACGAGGGTCCGCCATTGCCGTCTGCGACATCTGCATCACAAAATCATGGTCTCTCTCCCGAGGAAGCCCCAGAGACGTCGACGGCTAGCGAAAAGCGTGCTCTTTCCGACCACCCGTCCCATCCTTCGCAAGAGGAGCCTCCACCGCCGTACACGGAGAGTCCTGCTCAGGAGAATCCCGATACTAGTGCCGATCGTTCCTCCATGCAGAAAAAGCGTGCATCTGTGAAGCCTTCCGAATGGTCTCATCAGCGTCTCTATGTGGCCGGGCATTCGGATGACGAAAGCGAGGAAGAAGAGGACGATGGGGGTTGGAAAGAAATGCCCGCCTTGGGGGAATTCGATTACTATGATGACTATGGCCGGCTGGTTGCCCGTGGAGCGAAGCAGGAGGATAACGAAGCTGTGTACAGTGGTCTAGGTGGTGCAGGAAAGGGTTACACTCGCGTGCAGTTTGACGAAGATGCCCAATCAGCAACCAGCTTGGATGAAGATACAAGCTATCTTTTTAAAGATTCCGCCGACACCGCCGCCGGTGTAGAAGAGGAGCTGCGCGACCGCGTGAGCCAAATGCAGGCGACAAAGGACCTTCTTACTGAGAGCCAGAGAATAGCCTATGTTGGGGTGACCAGGCTGACTATTCATCAAATGACATTGGACATGAATAAAATCCCAGCCATCAAGGGCACACGCAAGGCAAGGCAAGCTGGCATCGATGCTATGCGCAAGTGGGGCCAAGCAATGATGGCCAGACTCTATTCTCACATGGAAATCGACACCGCGGAGCAGGTGATGATAGAGCAATTGGCTGAACATGGCGTGCAGCCGGCAGACCTTGTCCGACCGCTCATGAGTAACGCTCGTGTTGCGAATCCTTTGGCGGACGAGCCCGGAACACCAAAGAAGTCCATGTCCTCGCCTGCATCCCCTAGACTCAGGGAGGACTACCGGAGTAGCATATCCACCGAAATGGACAGGTCCTCCCGATCAACGTCCCCTCCACCATATGAAACCCACGAAGGGGAAGACTTGCCAGAGGTCCGAACGCCATCGCAGCTGCCCACTTCCGCGAAGATTGACATTGATCTCCGGTGGACAGTGCTCTGCGATTTATTCCTCGTCCTTATTGCAGACTCGGCCTATGATGCGCGGTCGCGGACATTGCTCGAAAGGGTTGGTGCTTCGATGGAAGTGTCATGGCTGCAAATTGCCCGCTTCGAAAAGCGGGTCATTGATGCCCTTGAGATGCAGGAGGCTGCAGAGAAGGAGACATGGGACGAGTCGGAGCACATGGAGAAGCGGCGGAAGATGGCCCTTAAACGCAAGTATATGGTTATGGGCTTAGCCACTGTCGGTGGTGGCTTGGTGATAGGCCTATCGGCTGGCTTGTTGGCCCCGGTCATCGGCGCTGGTATAGCGGCGGGATTCACCACAGTCGGGATTACGGGGACGAGCGCGTTTCTGGGCGGTGCTGGAGGTACAGCGTTGATTGCCTCCGGTGCCACCTTGACTGGAAGTACCATTGGGCTGAGAGCTTCTCAGAGACGGACGGGCCCTGTTCAGACTTTTGAATACCGCCCCTTACATAATAACAAGAGAGTCAATCTGATTATTACCGTCGCTGGTTGGATGACAGGAAAGGTGGATGATGTCCGATTGCCTTTCAGTACGGTCGATCCTATCATGGGTGATTTGTACTCAGTTCTGTGGGAGCCTGAGATGCTCCGAAGTATGGGTGACACTATTAACATTCTCGCTACGGAGGTAGGCAGCGATATTATACTCCGATACGCTCACGCGGACACTAACACGCTTGAATAGGCCTTGACTCAGGGATTGCAGCAGGTCCTTGGCCAGACAGTTCTAGTTGCCCTGATGGCCTCACTGCAACTTCCCCTTGTCCTGACAAAGCTGTCATATTTGATCGACAATCCTTGGAACGTATCGCTTACACGTGCGAATGCGGCCGGACTGATTCTAGCTGACTCGTTGCGAGACCACAATCTGGGAAAGAGACCAGTGACTCTTCTCGGATACTCACTCGGCTCGCGAGTCATCTTCTCTTGCTTGAAAGAGCTTGCAGACAAGGGTGCCCATGGGCTGGTTCAGAACGTGTATCTTTTCGGGTCTCCGATTGTGGCCAACCGAGATGAGTACCTCAAAGCCCGTAGCGTGGTATCTGGACGGTTTGTCAATGGATTCGCCTCCAACGACTGGATTTTAGGGTATCTGTTCC